GAATAAATTCGAATTCGAATCTAGCTTCTCTGGCGAGAAAATAAACATATTACAATGCTTAAGTTTAAGGCAGAACGTATAGGGAAAACATCCCCAAGGTAGACAAATTAATTATGGTAAAATTGTGATTGAAATGTGGAAATTAAGTCAATACTATAGAGACCATTGGCAAACTAGGGCTCATTTTAATTATTCAATTTTGAACTAAGTATCTCGGAATTGTTTGGTCAATTATTATGATGATGTGCAGGTACTGTGTATATTTCCAAATAATAAGAGTAAACAAGAGAAAATAATATATGAACATGAAAATAAATACAGCAAAGTTTTAATTCAAGAAACTAAAATAAATTACATAAAAGTGAATGAAATTTGATACCCTAGCCAAAGTAAAAAATTATTCAATTAAATGAAATTATTTTGTTTCAAATATAATATTACCAGTACTTCAATTAATTTAATGATATGCAGGTAATTGTGTAAATTGCCAAACAACAAGAGTAAATAAAGAGATAGAAATGCTGAAGTACTAGTAGCCAAGAAAACTCGAACTGTTGGCAAACACTCGACTGCATTCGCTGCTGCACCTCAAGTGAGATTAAATAAAACTGCAAGAAAATTGAAATGAAAATTCGGCAAGGCAAACACAAATTCGAGACAAGTTATAGCAGCATCTATGGGAATCCCTACCCCTCCGCCATTGCAATCCATCCAGCTTTGCCGAAAATATTTCATTTATACGGCTAGAGCCCACTTACATATATTTGCTGGCAACTTTCACGTCGAAGTGCCGCTGTGGCAGCTTAAGTTACTACCAGAACCAGACTCAGGCCCACAATTCAGAGCCAGACCATCTCTTCTCAGCTCCTACCTCCAACCGATATTGCCCAGGCATAGGCAACTTAACTTTGATGAGTTTGCAAAGTGAAATTCTGGGGAAAGGGGCAAGTAGCAAGTAGCAAGTGGCAAGGCAATAAGGCGCCGAGGACTTACCTTATCCACCGATTTGAGTGCAGTGTGCGGCGGGGTGTGCCTAAAATTATGATTAAAATAACGTAAAGGATGGGTTCGTCTCAGTTTTGGCTTCTCTGAGGCTAGGTAGGTAGGTATTAACATGGATACGGAAACTAATAAAGCGATTGTGGAACATTCTGGTTTGAAAAGTCATTCAGGGCGTTATGCCAGAGGTTTATTGAAATCAGTTTATTTTACATTTTATTACTTGGTTTCTTTTACTGGTTTTTTCTTTTAAATAAAGCATATGAACTGAAGGAAATTATACAAAATGTAAAAGTTTTAAGAGTTAGCACTTAGCAAATCAAGAGAGATTTTTATAAAACATAAAATACCTTTTTGCAAATAAATAATCATTTTCTTTCCATAATAATTATAAGCTTGACAATCTTTTTGGTCTCACATATAATTTAGTCACATATCATAGAACAGATAATATTGATATATACTAAAATCTTTACTACTTATTTGATTGTATTATTATTTATAAGTGATTTTATGGTAAACAAAAATAGGTAAATTAAAAACATTACCATAAGAGCAACTTCTGAGTGTGGCATAACGTTTTGTTTAAAAATCATTAATTACCCAACAAAATTTTTTTTTTAATTCGCTGAATTCCAGTTATAAAAAAACCGCAACTACCACTGGCAATGATTTTTTATCCAACCACCATGGTGGTGCACCAGCAACTATCCGTGGCAAAAGTACATACCGTAGCATGCTTGCAGGCATTTTATTAATTTCACTTCATTTTGATGCTCTCGTTATCCTGGGCAGAGGATGAGCATGGCCATGAGCAAGGGGATGAGGATAAGGATGAGGATGAGGACAATGATGTCTGGAAATGGCTAGCAGCTCTGCGGGCGCACATCTGCCGGATGCGCGGGTTGTTTGGTAATTTCCTCAACGGAAGTGCATGCAGCTGCAGGACCATAATGGGAGGATCCATCCTTATCCTGGACGCCGGCTGAAGTCCGAAGGAAGTTGGCTGGTCAGTGTGTGTCGGATTGTCAGCTTCGCTCCTTCGCTCATTCAGGCTATTGGCCTGGAAAAATATGTGTGGCCCAAAATTTGTTACACAAAATTCCGCAGCAATAAAAGACCAAGAGCAAAACCATTTTCGAAACTGCCATCGATGAGCATTGAACACTTCCCAAGGCCAATTTTCAATTGATTAAGCACTTTTGTGGTCGACACGAAACCACAAAAGTCTGGAACTTATAGCATCCATTTACTTTAATCGATCTCCAGGGAAAAGTGAAACAAATCGAATAGGTTCTGATGCAAATTCAAGTGTTTACTTTTAAAATCCATTTTAGTAAATGAAAAAAAGTATTGTTTTGTTAACTACATTTCCTGAAAAATGGTTACAGCTCAACTCAGGCTCAATCTTTTAAATGCATATGATTTCCATATCGAATTCTAATTAGAAATTAAATAAGTTGAACTATACTTAAGCAGTGCTTTAAGTTGGATAGCTCATGTCAAGATTAAATAAAGTGTCTGCAGTTATTGCAATCAAGCAGCAAACTCATTAAAAGTTTAAGTTTTAAAATAGGTATTATTAGGCTGATTGTCGAGTGCGAGACACCATTAAGTTCAGGATGAATCGGAAGCACAATTAGGCTGAGTGCCAGGGGCGTGGGCCTTTGTACCCAAGTGCAAGTGCCACAAAAATTCGCCCTAAATTAGACTGGGAATGGGAAGTAACCATCAAATGCAGAGACCACAAGTCTGAGACGATTCCGACATAAATTCAATAGAACGATGGCAATAAGTGCATTAGCAGCATATTTCACAGATTGGCAGACACGTCGCTAGATGTGGTCCCGTGGCCAGTCGAGCACACCAGACCGGCCCAAACCAGACCAAACACGACCAAACGATGGCCAAGACCAAGTCCAAGCAGCAGAGTAAGCCACAAATTGCATGAGATCATAAATATTTCAAGCATAAAGTACAAAATATGCAAAAGTTTCCTATTTTCCTTTAACGTTCTGTTCGCTTTGGCCAATGCCGTTTCCATTGCCAATGCCACTGCAGTTTGATGTAGTGCTGTCCAGTTGTACTTTTTAGCCAAAAAAAATTATGTACTCTTTTTTATAGCCTAGTTTGCATCAAAACAGGTTTAAATTAAACTAAACGCAAACCTAAATATTCTGGAATTTCATACAATTTTAGTTATTCTGTTCCTAATAATAAATACAAATAAGTTTGGCTAATATGATATCTTAAGAAAATTGTTGATAAGATTAATTTAATATATAATTATACCAACAATCTTATGATCGATTGGTTTTATATCTACAAATGCCTTTGAATTGTCTCTAAGGTTTTCAAAGAAATTTTGATCAAAATATCATATTATTAGTACAACAGGTACCAAATTATTTATTTTATTTACTTATTTCATAAAAATTACTTGAATTTCTTTTTATTTATATATATTAAAATATATCTTTTGACCATTTTAAAGCATTTAATGGCAGCACTGATTGCTGCTGGCTGTGTGCTATTGCAGTTGGCCAGATACGAAGGACGTCAAACGGAGTAAGAAAAATATATTGCTAAATTCTCGCACAGGAAACGGCAGCAGGAGCAGCAATAGCAGTAGCAGCAACAGCAACAGCCAGCGGGTGGACAGGACCTTTTCCGTAGTCCCCAATCCGTATTCCGTAGTTCGTAGTCCTCTGTCCGTTGTCCTTCGTCCGTAGTCCGTAGTCCAGTGTCCATGGTCCGTTGTCCGGCACGTGCACTACGCCAAAATGGCAAGCGGAAGTTCAAAAGAGCAAAGAGCATGTAACGATATTTCGGTTCTACTTTCTACTTTCTGCTTTCCCGAGTCGAATGCGAATACGAATGCGAATGGCCATGCGATTGCGGGCAACAAATTTGCAATAAGCAATTTTTCAATTTTCAATTTAGGCACCGAGGCAGCGGGTGGACATGGATATGCAAAACAGCGGCCACATATCGTCCAGCCATAATTCACCGCGAGTCGCCAGCATCCGATTGTGCAAAAAGGACAAATGAGAGTGTCCTGCGAGCGAACCAACGGCGTCAGTCGGGCGTAAAGCGCTATTAATTAACAGCGACTCAGTTTTTGGCAGGAATTTAGGATGTTTTAGGAAAATCCTTTTAACTATATTTTTTATTTAAATAATTCATCATTATAGTTTATGTTTTGCTTGCCGCCATCGCTGGCCAATCACCAGTGCAGCCAAAATGAGCCACATTAAACAGGCCACATACGGATAAGCGGAAGCTGCCGCCTCTTCTGTGCCCCTCGAACTCTTCAGGACGAACACAAAGTTCCTGTAGTTCTGCTCGCACTTCGCACAGCCCGTGAAGTCCACATCCACAAAGTCGTCCTCGAAAGGCGCTTCCCCGGAGATTATTTTGCATTGGGCTGGGAAGAGCGCGAAACCCACTAACTGCATCAGCAGGCAAAGTAGCTGGAGGCCCATGGGAGCTGAAATTCAGGTGTGTGGCAGGTGAAGCACAACTGAGTTGGGCACCCCTTTTGGGTACCCTTTTATAGCCCAGTGCAACAAAAGGCTTGAAATCACTGATTGGAACCACCATATGTTCGAGACAATTTCTCTATTTTCACTAAAAAGTAAAATGATTAGGTCATTTCATATGTTAAATAAATAAACAACGTAGGGAATACACTGCAACAATTATTTTAAGTACAATAAGAAGTCAGTAGCAACCGAAGGAACACACTGAAACAATTATTTTAAGTACAAGATTGTAATTTAATTACATTTTTATAAATTTTATAAGCAAGCAATAAACTGTTAAGTGTATTAAAATGTTTAAACATTATATTATTCTACTTAACAAAAAACATATTTTAAATCAACTTATAAAATAAATAAAATAAACTAACTAAAAACTAAACTATATGAATAAAGAGATTTATATATTGATTTTACTTACCCCTTAAGAAATTCCAAAACAAAATCTTGTTTTCAACAGAATTCCATTTAAGCTTAAAAGCAGTTCGAGAACAAATGTTCGCTGAGTAAAACCAAACCAAGTTACACAATTTGTTGTGTTTATTTATTCCGGATCGGCTTACACCATGTACTGTCGTATGTCGAGATCGCGTTCCCTGAGCTTCAGATCGATCCACTGCCGGTAGATCTTGACGTTCGTGTAAATGCCCAGCAGTTGGGGGCCGTCGCAGCGGGTTGTCCGGGTCAGGAGGCCGGCCAGGAGGAAGCGGTCGTCGTGGCCGGAGAGCGGACACATCAGGGGCACTCCGGCCATGTCCACATCGCCGCAGACGAAGTCGCCCTTGTCCCCGCCCGCGCACAGTACGGTGTCGTTGTGGGCGTGTCGCCGTCCCAAGAAGGACAGCCGCAACTTGGCCCGGCACTGATCCGGTGGCAGGACGTAGAGCGTCCACCGCTTGGGCAGGATGGCGGATGCCCCAAAGTCGCCTCTCTGCCAGCCGGACACATAGCACTGGCTGTAGTTGTAAGCCATTTGCGGTGGAGGCAGGCAGATGGGCTGCACATTGGGAGCCAGCTGGAAGGGCGTGTCCTTGGCCACCAGGATAATGGCCATGTTGTGGGCCAGTGGCATTTGCGTGAAATTCGGATGCAACACAGACTCCACCACCGGACGCTCTTGATGCGGCTGCGGTTCCAGCTCCACGGCGGCATCCCATTCGCCGGCCACCAGGCGAAGCTTCTCGGGCTCAAGACCCTGGACACAATGAGCCGTGGTGACCACCGCCATCGGTGAGATGAGTGCTCCACTGCAGAGGTATCCCTTCGCCCCGTAGACCGCCACCAGCCAGGGAAACTCGCCGAACTTGGCCTCCTGCTGCTTGTAGCCCAAGGGTCGCAGGTAATACCAGAGGTCATGACGACCCCCACATGGCCAGTTGGTGGCCTCCGCCAGAAGTCCCGGTGTCGACAGCTGTTTTGGATCAAATTTATTACTCAGAAACATCTTATTAAACGGAAAAATGTTTATGAAATGATAATCCATTTCAATAATGGCTAACGCAAGTGGCAGCCTTTTAATTTGATGTCTAAAAACAATTTGATTGCTTTTAAAGGAAAATATAAACAATACTTAAAAAAGTTCTTGGTTTTCATAGACTATTTAATTAAATTATATTCAACATTAATATAATTGGTTGTTTGCTATAAATTTGCAGAAAAAACCCAACAAAGGTAGTTTTTATGTCACTGGTAAGGTATTAAAAAGCGGGAAAAAGCTATAAAACAAAATCACAATAGTTATTTCGCTCCAACTAAAGAATAAAGAAATTTTGTTCAATTAAAAAGCGAGGAATTTTTTTTGACGGGCTTAAATCAAAACTAAAGTGAATTGAAATGTGGTTATCAATCAAAGTGTAAGCCAGTAGCAAAAAATCCATAAAAGATAATGGGTGTTGAAATTTAAATTTTTTTTGTTTTATTATACACAAGAATTAAGAAAAGAATCGAACTCAAAAAAAAAAGACATTTGAAGTATTATGATAAATTTTATTTTACTTTCACAAGCTTAACAATGAACTTTTTTTAGATAAGAAGGAACAAAATTTTAGCACTCACTGTATCGTGTATATTGCAGCACTTTTCCATATAGTGACAGCTCTCGTCCAAAGTCGTTCGACTGCGATCCGGATAGAACTTTCCTTCGACCACTAGGCCCTCGTTGCACTGCTCGTAGGGCACACATTGCTTCTCCGGTCCGCAGTTCTTGAATGCCGCCCACGTATGTGCTGGGATGGCCAAGAAATAGAGCACCACAACCCAATGGAGCCACATATCCGCGAATTCCGTCCCTGAAACGGGTTACCTTGCACTTGAACTGCGCAACTGGCCGACCGCTGGCTTTTATAGCCTCGCCAAAGTTCAGGCCGTACACCCCGATTTGATTGGGTAAAAAATAGATTGCGACCCATTAAAGTGCTAAAAATAGTCGACAATGAGCTGCGAAAAAGGGGCTGGACCTGGAGCAATCAAATAAATGATTCAGACGACGATGCACACAGAAATATATGAGACATTGCATTAGAAAATTAAAATCAAATCATTTACAAAATGTTGGGTTCAAAATGCACCATGCTCCATCATATTATTTATATTCGAAAAAATTCTCTGACGACTTCTAGAGTTTATTGTCATGTAAATTATATTAACTATTTCCAGAAAATGAGTTCTGAATAACAAGCTAAGTTGTTAAAAAATTATATTTATTATAGTCCTATATTTAAGCATGATTTTGTTTTCTTGACTAAATATTTTTTCTTTGGTTGAACTTTAAATTGTAATACATTTTTTTAAATTAGTTAAGTAAAGGCAATTGTATATTAAAAACAACTATATCTAATAAATTACTAAATTTGGGAATGAAGGTAGGAAAAGGTTTTTGAAATAGGTTTGTTAAATTTAGTTGATTAATAAAGGCATTTAACAGTCAAACTCCCTGTATCGTCTTTACATGGGTCCAGAGGAAGGGGTAACCATTCTATGCCCAATTACGCATACGAATCTAGCACTTTGCTCAGTCTGCCGACACTGACACGTATCCATATCCATTACCGAGCATTCGAATGGGTCGTCTAAAAGACGAAAAGTGGGGGATCTGATCCGCATCAGCTGTGCCTCAAGTTTTGCGTCATATCTTAATGCACAATCGTCGCCTAAGTGCACTTAAATTGAATAAAATTTCGACAAGTTTTAATACACAAGACATGCACTCTGAGAGGAAAATGAGGTGGCGACAAGACAGGTGGGGATTTTCCGGAGGGGAAGGGAGGGGAGGGGAGGGCAGTTTCCCTGCCGTTCGATAGACACACAACACAACTCAAGTGGAGCAGTGCTCTGTGTGTACTTGGACGCATTTGTTGCACTGACTTGTTTGGCTGGGATTTACGCAACTTAAACAGATTGTCGACAGGAATTGTGAGGCATGAGATGGCATCGAATCGAGGGCGATGAAGTGGGCTGAATGGAGGACACCAGGAGGACAAGAAATGCGTCAAATGTGTAGAAAGTTAACGTGTCCTGTGCCTGCTGGTCCTGTGTGAAACTTAATTTGTTCAATCGTGTTGCAACACTTCTGAACAGATGTTATCCTCGAGGAAATGAATTCTGTTATTGTAGCTGGCCATCCACTTTAAACAGATTTATGAACATGCCATGTCCATCCAGCCATCGATTCGTTTCTGCGGTGGCAAATATTCAATTATTATGACAATTTATTGTTCAACCAATTGTGTTGGGTGGATCGGAAGTTCATTTTCCACGGATGAGGACAAAGCTGTATGTAAACTGTGTTGTGCACCCGTAAGAATATCTCTTAATGCCCGCCAACCACAAAATGTCATAATCGAAAAAAATGGTCAGGTTTTTTTAAACATTTCAATTAAAATTATTATACTAAGAATCAGAGAAACCTACACAGATATCATGAAATAAATACCAACAAAGAATTCATTTTTCAATTGAGACCGAAAATATTGGCTAATTTTTAACAAACTAATGGGATTTTATTATTATTTGTATACACTTGGTCGACTAAAGTCTAAAAACAGTTGCATTTGTGACAATTATAGATAAAAATCACTATAGGTCTTTAAAATTAAGGTTAAATACATAAATAATAATAATATTTTTTATATATATTACAAAATATCAAAATAAAATAAATGTTTAAAAATGTTTGTTATATATATTACTCATATTCATACATTTGTAAACATTAAGCATTGTGAGGCTAGAATGCCACTCCACTCTTTTAAGCATTTGAGCATTTTTCATTGAGCAATTTTAACACATTTTGAGTGCAATGCAAGTCGAGCACTTGCAATGAGTGAGTACATTTTGTTCTCTTGCATGCATATTGCTCTCTTAAATGCAATTGATTCAGCTCAACTGCGAGCTAAGTGAAACTGTACAGACTGAAAACTGTTAGCAAGTGAGTGCATCTGAACATTGGGAACATTGGGAACATTGAGTTCTTGAGTTGAAAGATAACATTAGAAGGATATAAGCGTCAGTTCTTCAATTTTTGATTTAAGAACAAATGTTTTAGTTTTCTAAACATTTACCATCTGTTATAAGCCAATCTTTGATGTATATCTGTGTATCTGATCAGCTTCAATCTTTCAGAAGCAGCCTCACATTTATTATATAATTTATTAGTTTAGCACAATTAATATTATTTTGTAATTAAATAAAAAAAAATGTAACCGTAACTGCGAAAGTTTCAAATAAAAGCCACCTTACAGAAAAAGGTAAAATCTCACTCTTACTTAAAAAAGGCCACGGGTCGCATGAGTAATATATTTTAAAGCCATTGCACAGATTTTAAAACGCCTTTTTTTCCAACAAATATTATTTAATTTGATTTAAATGACCAAAAGAAAACATACCAATTTAAATCAAATACAGTGATCCGCCAAAGAAAAACAATAGCGCAATAGTGTTTTGTATTTCATATTACATATACTACGTTTGCTTTTATTTCAGTATCAACTCAATAGATAGCTTGAACATAAAATGGCCTACAAGCAATAGTACATTAAGTCGTAATTGTAACTACTAGAAGTTTAAGGGGTTACATTTAGTACATGTCTTATGGGGGTTTTATTGAAGTGGAGGATTAAAAACCTAATAAGTTGATTAGTCAGAGCAACTTGTAATACAATAAAAATTTCAATTGCTCCGGAAAATTGAAATTTTTAAAGCACAGCTCAAAAGGTTTTTTAACATGTTAAAATAGCAAATTATCTCATGGAAGCTTTAGTGTATTTATATGTAGACGTATTGTAAAACCAGCATAAGACATGTCTATGGTGGATGTGCTATCTTAATCTCCAAAGCAATGTCAGGAAGTGGGATGGTTTTTGATGTGTAAGGAGAGCCGGAGTGCAGTCCTTGTTGGGTTATACCATTAGAGCACCAAGTCCACGTTAACCTTCCTGCTCCTGTCCCGATCCCAGTCGCAGCCACTGGACGCAACGTCACAGGGTTTCGTTAAAAAGGCTCTTGCTCGCCCCCTTGAAGTTAGGATGAATCGGACCCGGTAGCACGTGGGGCTTGAGGGCACTCTTGCCGGGCTGGCGATCCGCGTCGTAGGGCAGCTGCGGGTACAGCTTCAGCTGGCGGTAGTAGTCGTTCTTGGGATAGAAACAGTTGCTCTTAGTCATGATCCTCACACGCTTGGCGCCGACTGGCTGAGGAGTGGAGAACTGCAGACGAGGGACCTGCTTGGATGTGGACTTCTGCAGCTTGCTGTTAGCCTGCTTCATTTGTTGTTTGCGCGAGGGAACGAAAATCTCCTCTTCTCCGGGCTTCAGAGGGTCATCCCAGCCGTTGGCTGCTTGCGGTGTGGCGCTGGTGGCTTCATCGCCAACAGCAGTCTCGGTTTTGGGTGTAGACTTTGCCTTGGACTGCTCCTCCTTCTTGGGCTTGGACTGCTGTTCCTCCTTGGGCTTGGATTTGTCTTCTTTCTTGGCTTTGGACTGCTCTTCCTTCTGCACCTTGGACTGTTCCTTCTTGGCCTTAAGTTGGCCTTCCTTTTTCACCTTAGGCTGGTCATCCTTTTTCGGTTTGGACGTTTCCTCCTTCTTTGCTTTCTTTGCCTTGGGCTGGGCTACCTTCTCGTCCTTGTTCTCCGCAGTTGCATCAGCGTCAGTGACCACCCAGGCGTTGTTGATGCTGGAACGTACTTTGGCATTGTGTTTGACCTTCTTCTGCAGCTCCGGGGGCAGAGCCTTGCCAATGATCTCGTCGTAGTTGTCCTCGTCCACCTCCTCAAAGTTGATGGACTGCAACAGGCGCTTGCGCTTGGACTTGTTGAGCTTCTTGAGCTTCCTGCCAGTGCCGAAAACCTCGTCCTCCATCACCTCGATGGCGGCCACCTTCTGCTCCACCATCTCCGACAGTGTTTGTCCCTCCACCTTTGGCATGGTGCGCACACCCAGCGGAAACTCCCCGCCCTTGTAGGTCTCAAAGATCTGGATTAGCTTGCGCAGGCCCTTGCGGCGCTTGCTGTTGAATTCGTTGGTGCGCAGCAGTGTCTGCAGCTCGTCCAGGACACAATCGGCGTTGAGCGGCAGCTCGGGCATGTGAACATCAACGTCCCCTGCACGGGGATCCAGGGATGTGGGGCGCGGCGGCTCCTCCTCGGCATTGCCCTCGTCGTCCTCCTCGTCAAAGCCCGAGTCCAGTTTCTCAATATCATCGATGGAGGCGGTGGGGAAGCCCATCAGCTTCCAGGCATTGTACTTTTCGCTGTACTCGCGTCCCAAGTCGCTCTGGTAGAGCAGGTGATAGAGCACCCTAGTGCGACACTGGGCCACCAGCTTGGCATCGCGCTGCGTGGCCAGGTAGGTGACGAACGGGCGCAAGAACAGATTCACCTGGGCGGCGCTAATCTCGCCATCGGCCGCCTTGGCCAGCTCCTCGAAGAAGACGTCCAAGTAGTGCATAGTCATGCCGCGACTCTTGGGCTGCTCCGACAGCACGGACAGCTGCATGCTCTTGTTGAAGGCGGCGATCAGGTCCGGCGACCACTTGCTCTGCTTGAGCAAACGCAGGACATAGCGCACCATGCGGCGAGTGAGCATCAGGAACTTGTCCATGCGCCACTGGTCGATGCCGAAGAACTCCTGGCACATGGTGCGCATGAACGCACTAAAGTAGGCCAGACTGCAGGCCGTGTTCCCACCGAAGCTGTCCACCATCTGGGCCAGCTGCTCGGCCAGCTCCTCCTGCACCAACGGCTTGTCCGACATCCACATGTTGTAGTACAGCCCCTTCCAGATGCGCATGAAGTCCTCCTCGGTGAAGGGGAAGGAGCTGCTGGCCCGCAGCTTGAACCACTTGCGCAGCTTGCGGATCTGGCGATTCCGCTGGGCCACATCGTTGCCAGCGAGGGCACGCACGATTTTCACCTCCTGGGCGACCACCAGCTCCTCCTTGGACACCTTCGGCTGGGTCGCCTCCTCCTCCTCGATAGCCACCGCCTCCGCGCAGCGCTTGGTTGGCTTCTTGCGCGTCACCATGCTCCGGCTAATTCAACTTTTATTTGCGAAAAATAAGTGAGCTGTGTATATTGAATATGCGGCCTGCACGTGTTGCCACTAGAGCTGGAACAAAAATCAACGTTTATCGATGCTATCGATGTTGCCAGAGATTTGACAGCGTTTTCCCAGCCGGCATCGACTATTTTCGAGTTTTAATAAAAAAATTTATTAAATAATTCAGGCTATTAAGAGTTTTGTGCGACCTTTATTTTGAATTTTTATAATATTTTAAATAAGTTTTAGCAATTTAAATTCGTTTTTTATTAAAATAATTATAATCACCATGGAAAGATTTAATTTTGCGGCTTACCAACACTGTCTAGGGAACGTCGCTTGGCAACACTCTTCCCCAGCTGATAATTCGGTCTGCTTTTTATAAATTTTTGCTATTTAGTAAAAAACAAAAGAAATTATGCCTGTGGTAAATGTGACGGCTGCCGAGGAGTACCAGAAGTACATAAATGGCGACAAGACGACCGTGGCGCTCTTCGCCGCCGACTGGGCGGAGCAGTGTGGTCAGGTGAAGGACGCGCTGGAAGAACTGTCCAAGATTACTGGCGAGAAACTGCAGTTCATCAGCCTAAACGCCGAACAATTTCCAGAGATTTCCATGAAGCACCAGGTTAGTCCGTAGTTTTTGGATAAAGAGAGACACTAACTAGATTTGTGGACCGCAACCAGATCGAAGCCGTGCCCACAGTGATCTTCTTTGCCAAAGGCTCCGCTGTGGACCGCGTCGACGGAGTGGATGTTGCCGCAATCAGCAGCAAGACCAAGAAGTTGGCCGAAAGCGCCAGCAGTGCGGCGGCGACGGGACAAACGTTGGAGGACCGCCTGAAGGCCCTCATCAACAAGGCTCCACTAATGATCTTTATGAAGGGCGACCGGGATGGCCCACGTTGCGGATTCTCCAAGCAACTCATCGCCATTGTCAACGACACAAAGTAAAATGTTCGCTTGGCCATTATTTTCACCTTTTTAACCACAAACTGTGTTCTTCAACAGCTTGCCGTACGAAACGTTTGACATCCTGGGCGATGAGGAAGTGCGCCAGGGCCTGAAGACCTTCTCCGACTGGCCCACCTATCCGCAGGTGTATGTTAAGGGCGAACTGATCGGCGGACTCGACATCATCAAGGAACTGCTGGCCAACAAAGAGCTGGAGGCCACACTCAAGGGTTAATTCCATCGGACTGCGACCTATCCATCAGGCACCCCAAACCATGAACAAACTTTTGCTAAGCCCTTGGGCTTTTGTATAGTTTAATAAAGGATTTTTGCTAACATCGAATCGGTTTTCATTTAGAGGATGTGGGTATCGCATTGTTTTGGCTAAAAACTTTTGAAATAGTTAAAGATTTCATTTTATTCTTTCTTAGAGTGCGAATTTCATATTTTTATGAAATAAAATGCTTGTAAAATTCAATTCAATATTTTTATAATATTTAATTTAATTTTTAATTTAATTTTAATTTAATTTAATAGCTAAAAGTCAATAGCGGTTAAATCAGTACTGGCTTCTCTAGTATTTTGCAACACTAAACATTTTATACGAACAGCTGTCTGGCATCGGCTTGCAAATTATTTTCGCAACTTTATTATTATTTTTAAAAATACACATACACCAGATTTAAATCAGTATTCTTAAATGGCTGAGGGTAATACAGCTGGCGGCGAGGATCAGAAACTGTCGGACATTTTTTTAAGTGGCTGGAACATCTTTGACGAGCTAGAAGTTACCGACCTGCCTTTTAATGGCAGCGAATTTCAGGTGAGACATTAAGCATCCAAATGAAATACTTTTTTAAAGCTTATACCACCATATCTAGAACAAAGTCAAGACAGCAATGGGTCTCTTCGAGCAGGCCACCGTCATTGTGAACCAGGTGAGCATGTTCAGTGCCAACGAGATGATCGACGAAGTGTCCACGGAATCTCTGCCCTTCATGCTGCTCCCGTACTTTCTGGGCAAGCTGACCACTAAGATCAACAGCCCCAATAGCATACAGTCCCTGGAGCTGGGTGAGATCTACTTCAAGGACCATCTGCAGCGCTGCCAGGAGTACGAGCTCTGTGCGGCACCCAAAACACAGGTGGCAACTCAAGATAACCAGTCTGGAAAGAGTGAGCAGCGGGAGCTCATGGAGGCAGCCTACAATAGAAACGACAAAATTGCCCAGTATCGCAGGATGAAGGAAATTGACGAGTATATGGCCAAGATGCGGGATGCAGTCAAGAACAAATCGGCTGAGGATGAGGACAGACGCACGTTCTTCCTCAAGTATTTGGACAAGAGCATCATAGACTCCAAGCAGGAATTGGAATCGCTGGGCGTGATGAAGCAGCTGGCCCAGATGCGTCTGGCTCGATTGGCTGGCGGCGAAGCCGACAACGATGTGGACTCCTTCCGTCCATCAAATCAGCATCAGCAGCCCTCTGCATCTTCCACATCCCGTGGTCATGGTCACAGTCATGGACCCGGACATCATCACCCCCATCATCATCAGCAGGCCGCCAAGCCGAAGCCCCTGCAGCCCTTCATCATCACTCGCAACGCCACCCAGAAGGCGGTCTTCGGTTTGGGCTACCCCAGTTTGCCCATCATGACGGTGGATGAGTTCTACCAGCAGCGCGTCGACGAGGGCATATTTCCCGACGAGGAGAAGGTGGCCAAGATGAATCAGGCACAGGCCATCGCCGCCGCCCGCGATCCCAACGAGCAGGAGGACGAGGAGAAGGCCGCCGAGGAACTGCAGGCGGAGGAGGACGACCCGGAGTATCTGGACCGCATGAGGCGCATGGACGAGTACAAGGACGTGGTGCGTCGCGGGGACGGAAACCGTCATAACCGTAGCTAAGGAACTCACTTAAAAATTATATACTTTTCTAAAAACTAATAAAATGGATAATCTATTAGCCAGTTTATTAAAATAAAGTAGTACTTTATTTATTCCTAAAACTTAAGGCTTACAAGAAATGAGTAAAAAGTATGTATTAATTTAAGGAAAGTCGAGAGCCACTTTAGCCTTTAGTTTTAAAAAGCCTTTCAATTTGTTTCAACCATCATTACTTTAAATTGCAAGGAAATTTTCACAATTAACTTTTGTAACATTCTTAAAATCAAAATTTTATGAAGTATCAGAGTTACTTTTATTTGTATAAATATTAATTAACAGTGATTTCTATTATCACCGGTAACATCGCTTTGTACAAAATTTAACAAAACTTTGTGTTTGCCTTTTAATTCAAACAAAATAAAATTTCTCATTTGAAAAATCCCCTAGACTGGCCCCACCATTTCAGTGCTGAAAAGCGTTGAGCAGCAATCGTGCGTTTCGCAACACTGATATTCACATTCCAATTCCACCACCAGCAACAACAAAAGATCCAACCCGAGGGCACACATAAATTGTTAAAAAAAACGTTCCACAAAAGGAAATATTCGCAGATAAAACTAAGAAATCAACGCAAATCACAGTAAAGTATCGAAAGTGCACTTATTGCCTGCTGTTGGCGAGTTTTTAAAGTCGTTTGCACGTATTCCGCAGCAACTTGTCAGCAGGATGTCCGTGAGAGATTTCATCAAGGGCCTGCCCATCCACGATTCAACCAATTTCACCCACTTGAGCAACGAACACGGGATTCGGACTTCGCAGAAGAGGGCTTCTGTTTACCTGCCCACCGAGGACGAGCATTCCGAGCAGCTGATCGTGATGGACAAGCGCTGCGTCCTGCTGCGCTACCTCACCCAGCAGTGGGACAAGAAGACGCTCCAGCGGAAGCGGGAGCACGGCAACGAGTCCGGAACTGGCAACGGCAACAGCTCCACGCCCAACGGCAATGGCTCCAGCAGCAAAAAGCGCCCCCGACTGGACCCCAACGAGCTGAACTGAGCGGCAGGACCAACCAGGACCAGTCTCCAGCCGCACGAAGGACATCCCATACAGAACACGCGCCCCAGAGCTTCGCCAGCACGAGCCACCCTTCATTCATAAACACATTTAATTTACAATACACAAAGTACAAAGGAGTTGCAGTCAAACTTCCAATACTTGAAGTCGCATAGAGAATTCGCTTTCAATATTTTGTTCACCTTTGTTTATAGAGTTAAAAACGACCTTTTCATGTAATTCGTTACCAGGTTAATATTTTTTTCAACAAAAGAAACTTCTTGTCTTTGTTATGGCCATAACTAAAGAGTACTTTGTGCTTACCTAGAAAAATAAACTTCTAGATCTGTTCTTGTAACTTTAAATGTAGCCAAATTACCATTAACTTGATATTACATTTAACGAATATACTTCTGAATTTACATGTAAACAACTGTTTATCTTATTCAGATAGTTGTGAGCTATATATCAAGAATATATACTCATGAATTCAAGATAGTAGAATATTATTTCAGTTGAAAAAATATTCTGACTTTGACTAAAGGAAGTTCGACTGAGTCCTGGTACAAAACACATATTATATCACATACTCTGAGCTCCAATAGATTTACTTTTAAAGACAAAGATTGCATGTGATTTTACTACTGTACTCTTAGATTAGTGGTGTCCTAGGTCCTTGGGATCCGGCTTGCCGTACTGCTTCTCCCACCAGACGACATACTCCTTCTTGCGCTGCTCCCGCTTGGCGAAGTACTCGGGGTACTGGGCCTTCTCCAGGGGATGCCAGTAGTCCAGCAACCAGTCTGGCGGGATCACCTCTCGTTCGAAGGCGCAGCCACCGGCACTGTTGGCAACTAAAAGGATAAGACATTAGCCAAGCCGATATATGACCGAAAGCCATTTGCTTACAGTTCCGGGGCTGGAAATGCTTCGTCTCAAAGAGCTCCTTCTGTCCAGCGGCCAGGAGGCGGATGCCCTCGCCCATATCCTTGCGCCTGTTCTCGTCGAAGCGGGCACGCATCTGCACGGCGCGGTATCGGTAGTCGTGGCTGGCGGGGATTAAACCAAACAAGATGCACTTGCTCATTATATAATCTTCGGGTCTTGTTCGACAGCTGCACTCACCGTCGGTCATACCAGGCCTCCAGGTTGCGCAGCGCCTTCTTGTACAGGCTGCACACCTGGCGCTTGTGCGAGACAATTGCCAAGGGGACTGTGGCCATCGTTTGCGCCTTAATTCGTTAAATTCTATTAAATTGCTTTTGCAGCCTCGGCAGCAACAACAGCTGTGGAAGGTTTAGTGTTCTTAAGCGCGCTGATTGGACAAAAGTGCTGGAAAGCGACAAAATATTTTTGAAATGCGGCAACTCTGGCGCCAATTAATTGAGTTTTCAAAAAATATTTAAATTTGTAAGACTAAAGCTAAACACATGCTTATCAAGCTAAATTTATCAGCATAGAGCTTATTCACAAAATAAAACATTAATAATAAATTAAACATGTTCTTTCCTGGTTTTCATTAATTAACATAAGCTAAGTTTTAAAAAAAAGAATTGTAGCCTAACTGATAAAGCAGTCCTTAAAATGGTATCCCCTTATGAATTGACTTCAAAATAAATCCAATTAAACAAAGAAATCATCTTAATTAAATGCATCTATCGAAATGCTTTAATAAATTATAATGTTTAACAAATATGCTTAAAGTAGTAATATAAAATATTGTTAGTCCTCTAGCTGCATAACATTCATTATGCATTGAACAATATGCTCTGGTATATTCAGCGGTGTTTCGCACAATTCACCCGTCTTTTTGTCTAGCATGTAGATTTCGTTGAGCACTCGGTCCTCGTGCTCTGGATCCAAGGATGAGACGAGGGCTAGGGATCCCTCAGCCAGTTCGGCGAGGATTTGTTCGATATCCGGCTCGGCAGTGGGGGGCGGAATGGGGTCATCCGGTGTTATGACTTCATCTTCATGGTTCTGCTCTTCCCCAATGAAGTTGATTAAATATGTTTCCGACTGTCGATTTGGCGCCACAGTGGCTGATTCGGCGTCGCTCACATAACTTAGGGTACCGTCATCCATATTGATGATGGTCTTATCACGGGGCTTGCTTATATCTACTTCATATTCCATTGGATCATCCATCAGAAGTCCATTTAGCTCGGCCTGCAGTTCTCCTCCGGAAGGTACATTATTTCCAGTTTGTTCGGTTTTGATTGCTTTCTCCTGCTTAATGGGCGCCAGATCCGCCTGATCCGCTGCTGCTGCTGAAACTGGAACTTTGGGTGGCCGTCGTCTAGCCTTGGGCTTTCGCTTGGCGGGAGCACTTCCGTCGTTCTCGTCCGTTTCCAATTCCTTGCGTCTTTTGGCCCAGGCCTGCTTGCCGAGCTTCTTATTTGTCACATGCTCGTTTTCGTAGACTACATCACCATCGTTCAGTGTACGAGATGCCTTGCTTTGCTGCTGCAATTGTGACCGCTAAAAAGAAACGAATTTCCAATAAAATAAAATACCATTAGCAAAGGAATGCTTTTTAACCAACCTTTTTAGGATTCCCCGGCATTGCGCGCGAAATTTCCCTCCACTGGCGATCATTCTCCTCCCGCTCGCGATCCTCCTCCGCCAGCTGGTCCTTGAGCTCCTGTATGTTGAAGGCCTTGGGATAGAGCAGCGCCTTGTTGATCAGCTGCCCATTGGTGCGTTCCTCCTTTTTGTACTTGAGCTTCAGATCCCGACGCGAACGCGTGGGAAACATTTGGCACATCAGCGAGAAGTCCGTACCGATTATCTGTAGGCTGCGATAGAAGCGCACTGTCTCATCGGAGGTCCAATAAGGCGTTCGCTTGTGCCGTTTATAGAATCCATTGTCACCTGATAAGCGGGCAACAAGATATCAATAACAAAAACCATTTTATATTATACAAAATTGATACCCACCGGTAGTCTCGTCCATTAGAATAAGAGATGAGTTGGCCAGCACTTTGCGGGCCTCAACCTCGGCCGTGGTCTCAATCTCCAGGGTCTTCTCATCAATAATCATCTCGCCATTGGCATCGAGCTTTAGCTGAGGCACCAGCATGGCGGATGCGCCTTCTCCCTTGGCTTCCAGCAGCTGATCCGACGAGGGCTTGGCATCTTCGCCATTGGACTCATCCTTGATGGTCGTCACCGACTGCTTGGGCACCATGGGATTGTTCTCGGGATTATAGTAGATCATGTCCATCATCTTGAACGTGGACTTGTCGGGCACACCCTTGTTGAAGCGCGTCTCGAAGTCGCGCCGGGCATTCAACCGCTGTCCCCCTTGGTTTTGGGACTTATCATCCTTGCGCTGCTTGCCGCCACCTTCGGAATAGGTGGAACAGGTGGACTCGGTGCGAATGCGTCCCATGCCCGGGCTCATGACGGGCGGGAGGTATTTGTAGGGCGATTGAGCCATGGGCGAGGCCACCTGTTGCTGCTGCGGTGTGCCCGTGGAGGAGCCACTGAGGTAACGCTCCCGCCGCGTGGGCGTGGCCGGCGATTGGTAGTCGCCCTCGTAGTCACCGGCCATCGGAGAGCCGACGAAACTGTTGCGCCTCTGGCCAAAAACCGGAGTGGGTCGGACGCGCTGGCGGGCCTGTGCCTTGCTGGGCGACATGGGAAAGCCACTGGTGGTCTTCTGCAAGTCCATCTGGATGACGTTGTCCTCCAGGTCCGAGTGGAAGACCTCCTCCAGTTGGCCAGCCGAACTGGCGGGCATTTTGAAGGCGATTGCATCAGCTTCGAGTTCGTTTTCCGCAGGGGTCGTTGCAGCGGGCGGGGACTCAGCCACTTCCACTCCCCTCGCCGCCTCCTCCTCCTCCTCCGGCTCCTTCTTCGGCGCGGACTGCTCCTCCTTGCGCGGCTTGCGCTTGATGAGCGACAGGTTGGCCGGAGCCTTGATGCGCTGGCGCCGCATGGACATCCTGCCTGGATTCTGTTATGGTTCTTCCAGGCTCAAAGGCGATTTCACACATCAAATTGAATCGAAAATCTACGCAACAAAAACAATGCGGTGCAACCACGAGTTTCTCAAATGAAGTGTTGGCTAACGTCAAACAGCAAGGACAGTGGTCTGAGCACTAGCAAAGTGGACTGATAAGAGATAATCTTGAATAACTAAGATAAACAATTCCGAAATATCAGTAAACATCAACCTGTATAAATGCTCCATTTTTATAAGAAAAACAAACAGATTTTTTTTTCATTGCTAATAAATTTGTTTAATCTTATATTTCCAGTAACTTTCTTATTACTTTATTTGTTTTAATTATTATTAAATATCTTAAATTTTCCATTCTAGCGCCTTAATTAAACAAATAAGTTAGAAATTCTTTAAAAATTTCTTCCAACAAAAAACCCTTGCAAACTTGGTAGAAATATATTTGGAAAGATTTATAAATTGAATTATAAGCTGTCAGCACCAAAATTATATATTTGTATCTTGTTGGTATGGTTTTTAATTTTTTTTTTTTTAATGTGATCTCTGATCCACTGATCGCAGCTGTCAACTCTCAGCAGGCTCTTTAAAGTTGTCCAACACTGTGCCTGTAACGACACAACAGCAACAATAACAACAACAACAAGAACAACAACAGCGTGACAACCAGAGCGCGCAGCAATAACATACATAGCAGCAGACAAATTGCAAGTTGCACGTTTTTTCCCATCGGTCAAACATGATAAGCCCGGCCAGAACATAATCCAGCTCTCGTGCAGTAAGGCTTCCGTCAAACCGATAGATTGTGTCCTGGCCACAAGTACTAAATTCCCCCAGTTTCGAGGCGACAAATGTGCCAATAAGTAGTAATAGCGTAGGAGCGCCATTAACTAAGTCGCCGCACTTTGAGTGGGCTGTTATGCAAGCGGGCGGCCGACAGCCAAATTGAATTAGCCGGCATGCTGCTCAATCGATTCGTGCTGGCCATCAAGAACCAGTCCCGCGAGACACTGCGCGCCTGGAGCTACCAATGCGAGTCGATCTTCGCCCAGCGTTCGCGCCGCATTCAGCAGCTCCTGTGCTTCTACCAGTCGGTCTATGGAACCCAGGGATTGAAACAGCTCTGGCGCGCCTACTACCGCCGGGAGCTGCAGCCCCCGCTCCGCGGAATGGTGATGAGTGCGGTGGGTCTGGTGGGGCTTAACATCAAGCTGCTGGGCAGCGATGGCTTCGACTGGAACAAGGAGCGACTGGCCCTCTCCAACTTTGACCTGTGCCGGCGGGACATCGAGTTCATCAACACCCTGCCCAACAATCAGCTCTGCGAGCGCTGCCAGTCCAAGAAGATGAAGTACTGCTACTGTCAGCTGGGCAACCAGCGCTGCAGGAAGGGCCAAAGCAAGCCATCGACCAGCAAGGAGGCGGAGTCGGAGTCGGATGCGGAGTCCACCATTGCCAACTGCCAGCGACCGCTGGATCTGGACGTGGGCAAAGCCCCCGCCGGAAGCGTTCGCATTCAGGCCCAGGACGAGCACAAATGGGAGCCGTACTTCAGCAAGAACGAGTTCAGCATCTGGCGGCGCGAGGAACGCTCCTCCTTGTACTCATACAAGGTGATTAGGCTGCTCCTTATAATTCCATAGTTATTATTAAATCCCTGCTTTCCATGCCAGGTTTATGCCCGTTTCGATGACATCACAGCGGACGATTTCCTTCACGTTCAAACCGATCTGGACTACCGCCGGAAGTGGGACGACACGGCCCTGAGACTGGAGCTCATCAGCGAGGATCCCGTGCCGGGCAGCAACTCGCATCTAATATACTGGGAGATGCAGTGGCCGCGTCTGTTCGCCAATCGCGACTACGTCTACTGCCGTCGCTACATCAAGGATGACAACAAGAAGCTGATCTTCATCTGCAACCGCGGGGCCAAGCACAACACCTATCCGGCGCTGTCGGGAAAAGTGCGCGTCACCGACTACTGGAGCCTGATGGTCATCAAACCCTTTCGCGGCTTCCACGAGCCTGGGCTGCACTTTGTGCTCACGTACTATGATGATCCGGGCATACCCATACCTCAGAATATCAAGTCTTGGGTGACGCAGAAGCAGATGCCCGAGTTCCTCACAAAGATGTACGTGGCCACCAAGAACTATGCCTGTTCGCGGGCCATCAAGATGAAGGACATGTTCCACGGATTCGCGTTAATCAACGATGAGTACACGGCCAACGAGCAGCGCGGCACTTGGCTGGGAAGTTTAAGCAGGCGCAAGGCGAACAGTAAACCCGGTGCAGAGCGCTAAGTCTCCAACTTTAATATCCTTCGTCCCTACCGCTCACATCAAACCAACCTGCCCTGGAGAGCCACAAATCATACCACTCACATGACCAGCTTCACCTTCCACTCAACCCTTCTTTTAACTTTGAAATCAATTCAGGCAAGATATATCGAAACCACAGAACACCAGAGAAAGTGTGCAATAGCTTTTCTGCTCTTTAAATGTGTGCCACATTGATGGGAAACTTTACATATAAATATATATCTACTTTAGCTATATAGCTAAACCGAAATATTTTAAGTTTAGAAGTTGTTTAAAACGCAAATAGAAATTACTGAAATTACTTGTACAATAAAAGAAATGCAAACAGACAACCAGAGGAAGCATTAAGAAGGCTATAATGCAATGTCTTGCCTAAGAATTGAAATTTTCCGTCGATCTTTTCCAGTCTTGCATAACATTATCTTTACCGGATGGAGGAGCTTGCTTATATGTTTTTTTCAAAACAAATTAATAGGTTATTTGTTGTCCATTGCTTGTGCTTATCAAATCATGCTGGTCCGCCCTTATCTTTTATTACTATTCAAATTCCTCACCTTAGCTTGTTGTTATTCTTATCTTGGTCTGTTTTCATATCTGCATACTTGTAGATTAAAGGGACATTTTTAAACTAATTTAGGGGATTGAAGAAATCAGAGATGTAAAAGTAATTATTTTTGTTCATTTTAATAATTTGTTATTCGAATAGAGGCATCTGTGTAAAAGCATTAAGATAATCGAATTTATTCTATAAGTTTTAACATAATTTAAAAGTAAGCTATCCAGTTAGAAAATGCACATACATACACATACAAATATTCGACTTTTAAGGCTGATTGATAACGAAACGAATACAGTTAGGGCTAATACAAGAAGTGAGATTGCAAAGTAGTGAGGGAGAACTATATCGTTACACTTGGCAGCAGCGTATCACAGCTCTGTGCGGTCCGCTGAGTTTGGCGGGTTGTTCATATAGGCGATGAAGTCCTTGCTGGTCCGTCCGCCGTTGTAGTCCTGCTTGGTTTTGAGGTAGGAGAAGTACAGAATGGTGGGATAACCGCGGACATTGTACTTGGCGCAGAGCGCGGCAAGCTTTGTACAGTCGATGGCGACAAATGCAACACGAGGATCATCCTGCAGAGCCGTGGCAGCCGCTGTGAACTCCGGTTTGGTGTGCTTGCAGTGTCCACACCCTTAAAGAAAAATTCATTTCAGTAGAGCTTCGATATGTAAGCTAAAATTAAACTTACAGGGAGCATAGAACATGACCAGTGCGTGTTTCTTTCGCTTCAGCGTCGAGCTGAAGGTGTCATCATCTAGAAAGAGCACCTCCTTGCTGTCCTCCTCCTCCTCCCAGCTCTTCTCCGGCGGTGGTGGTGGCGGCGGCTCTTTGGGATCCCGCATAAACTCGACAATTTTTGAAGCCTCGCGCACATTGACTTCAAACTTGAAGACGCCGTTCGAGAAGAATTTCACCGTTGGATAGCCCTTGACTTTGTATTTCTCGGCAATTGACGGCTCCTTAGTGGCATCCAGAGCGGCCAAAAGGCCGGGAATCTTTTTCTGCTTCATTTCCAGGGCGGCCTTCTCATACTCGGGCTTCATGCGCTTACAGTGCCCGCACCAGGGGGCATAGAACATGACCAGAGCGGCCTTCTCGTCCTTCAGCGCTGGCTCAAAGCCCTGCGTGGTTAGGTGGACAATCTCTGAGTTGGTGTCTGCCGACCATTCGGGCTCCTTGGGCTTCGGCGTGGGCTTAGCATTTGGGTTGAGCATGAAGGATACCAGGGCGTCCTTATTGTTCTCTCCCTCGTAGGTGAAGCGCAGCTTTCCATTTTCGAAGTAGATCATAGTGGGGAAGCCTGTTGACAAGTTTGGATAAAAATGAATCTAAGAAATATTTGACTTTTGGCTCACCAGTTATGTTGAACATTTTGCGTATGGGAGCGTTCTCCTGCCGCTCCACATTCATTGCCGCCAGCAGATAGCCACCCTTGGCCTTCAGCTCCGTGGCCGCCTTGCCGTAGTCAGGCTTCATTTTCTTGCAGAATCCACACCATGGGACATGGAACATGACCAGCATGGGCCGGATGTCCTTGCGCAGGTGCTTCGTAAACGTAGCGGCATCGCTGAAGTGTAGGACATCCTCGCCGGCGGGATCCTCCTCCCAGGGCAGATCGCCGGAAGGATCACGCATAAAAGTGACCATGGAACCGACACTCAGCTGCCGGTCGTAGTCCTTGTGGAAGTCGCCATCCTTGTAGTGCTTGATGGCGTAGGGTTCCGGTGAGACCTTCAGCTTCTTGCACAGCTTTTTGCGATCCTGCTGGCCGCAATCCAGGAGCAGCATCGTCCCGGTTCCCCGTATCGCTTCCGCCGCCTCCCGGAACACCTTCAACTCGGCGGCGGCGGCCTTGGCACTGGCCACATACAGCGTCAGGACATTGTTCTTAGTGCGCATCAGCTTCTTGAAGTCCTTGTACTCCGCGATGTCATCCTGCACCGCCGAAGTTTTCGTTTTAGCGGCAACAAGTGCCAGCAGCAGAAGGAAAACAAACTGACCCGTGAACCACATCGGGCCTGTCAAACTTTGCACTTAATGGTAATGGAAAGGTTTGTCCGAAGTTATATTTTCTCGTGTGTACTAAATAATTGCATGTTTAATACAGATTTAAAGCGGCATTTTAGTTTCACACCAAAAACCGCAGGTAGAAGACGTGGACTTGCCGAAAAAACTTATCGATAGCTGGCTTGGCAGGCATGGTACTAAGAACGAACTTCAAAGTGCCGGCTATAGGAGAAGCACCTGTTCCATCGCTAGTTAGTGATGACATTTAACAGGCTTAGCTTAAAATAGCAAAAAATACATTATGTCACGTTATCGCCGGAATAAGTTATGGCAATAAGAGATATAAGTATAACTGAAGCTATAAATCATACAAATTAATAGATAAACAATTGAAGCATTTTTATTTTCAATAAAACCTCTAAAAAAATTTTTTTGAACAGAGATTTATTATCTGAGCCAAAACACACTAACTATACATGGTTAGTGCAAAACATTACCATAAAGTTCCAACAAAAATATATTTAAAACGATTAAAATTTGAAAAGCTTGTGTAATAATAGAAAATAATTAATGGGCTTAATTTAAATGTCTGCTTTATTAATTATATATTAATATTTATATCTGCCAGCACTGACCCGTTTGCGACTATCGATAGGTCGATCGTCAGCGCTTGTACGTGGCAGGCGACAACCCTAGGCCAGCGCTGACACATTAACCAGGGAAAGAAGAAGAGCCGCCGAGGCAGCAGCAAAAGAGTTTTTTTGGTCTCGCCGCAATTGAATTAGTGTTTACGCAGACAGCAGCAGTTTGCCCAAACCGTGAAAGATGCCTCTCAAACTGGACATCAAGCGTCGCCTGACGTCGCGCTCGGATCGGGTCAAGTGCGTGGATCTCCATCCGGCGGAGCCGTGGATGTTGTGCGCCCTGTACAATGGCCACGTACACATCATGAACTACGAGAATCAGCAGATGGTGAAGGACTTTGAGGTCTGCGATGTCCCAGTGCGCTCCGCCCGCTTCGTGGCGCGCAAGAACTGGATCCTCACCGGCTCGGATGACATGCAGATCCGGGTGTTCAATTACAACACGCTGGAGAAGGTACACTCGTACGAGGCGCACTCGGACTACCTGCGCTGCATCGCCGTGCATCCCACACAGCCGCTGGTCCTGACCAGCAGTGGTGAGTAATCTCCGGGAGGATCTCTGCCCCTCATTTCGTCACCCAATCCGTGTGTGTTTACCTCACACATCCGCTGGGAAGTATGCTTTGGTTTTGTGTCTCACTCCTGCCACCCATTTTCCCTACAGACGACATGCTCATCAAGCTCTGGAACTGGGAGAAGTTGTGGGCCTGCCAGCGCGTCTTCGAGGGCCACACCCACTACGTCATGCAGATCGTGTTCAACCCGAAGGACAACAACACCTTTGCCTCCGCCTCGCTGGATCGCACGGTGAAGGTGTGGCAGCTGGGCTCAAACTTTGCCAACTTTACGCTGGAGGGGCACGAGAAGGGCGTCAACTGTGTGGACTACTACCATGGAGGCGATAAACCCTATCTGATTTCCGGTGCCGATGATCGCCTGGTCAAGATCTGGGACTACCAGAACAAGACCTGCGTCCAGACCTTGGAGGGACACGCCCAGAACATCTCGGCTGTCTGCTTCCACCCGGAACTGCCCATCGTGTTGACTGGCTCCGAGGATGGCACCGTGCGCATCTGGCACTCGGGCACTTATCGCCTGGAGACCTGCCTCAACTACGGATTCGAGCGGGTCTGGACCATTTCCAGCATGCGGGGCACCAACAACGTGGCCCTGGGCTACGACGAGGGTTCCATCATCATCAAGGTTGGACGCGAGGAGCCAGCAATGTCCATGGACGTGGTGGGAGGCAAGATTGTTTGGGCTAAGCACTCGGAAATGCAGCAGGTTAGTAAGATAGAGATAAATTTTCTTTAGTCTATTGTTTATCGAACCCAATTTATTCGTTCTGCAGGTCAACCTCAAGACCATTGCCGATGGCACAGAGATCAAGGACGGCGAACGCCTGCCAGTGGCGGTTAAGGATATGGGCGCCTGTGAGATCTACCCGCAGACCATTGCCCACAATCCCAACGGTCGATTCGTCGTCGTTTGCGGCGATGGCGAGTACATTATCTACACATCGATGGCACTGAGAAACAAGGCCTTCGGCTCCGCCCAGGAGTTTGTGTGGGCGCTGGAGAGCAACGAGTATGCTATCCGCGAGAACAACGGCACCGTCCGCCTGTTCCGCAACTTCAAGGAGCGCAAGAGCTTCACGCCCGAGTACGGGGCGGAGAGCATCTACGGCGGCTACTATTTCGGCGTGAAGACCTCCTCCGGATTGGCCTTCTACGACTGGGAGACACTGCAGCTAGTGCGGCGCATAGAAGTGCAGCCCAAGAACGTTTTCTGGAACGAGAGCGGCAGCCTGGTCTGCCTGGCCACAGATGACTCCTACTTCGTTTTGGGAGTGGACACAGCCCAGGTTGCCAATGCTGTGGAATCTAAGGAGGGCCTGGAAGATGACGGCGTGGAGAGTGCCTTCAATGTGTTGGGTGAGTTAAATACAAATGCAGAGGTAAACATAAATGCAGATATCACACATAAAATGGAGCAAATTAGTTATCTAAGATCTTATCTTGAAAACATGTCTGATGAAATGGTTTGTCTTGAATTCATTTCAATTTTCTTTAGTTAAAAAATCTGTTTTTTTTATCGATTTCCATTATTTATGATATTGACATTATTTTTGTACAAATATTTGGGGGAGTGGAAATTTATTGTTCTCTATTTCATCATACAAACAATATATTTCTGATAAACATTTTCTTACGTTAATGCTTCTGTTTAAACTTTTCTTGAAGTCAGCTGACTTGTAAGCATTATCAATAACATATTTTGTACTCTTTTTAATTGCAGGCGAGGTGGCTGAATCCGTGAAGACGGGCCTGTGGGTGGGCGACTGCTTCATTTACACCAACTCGGTGAACCGCATCAACTACTATGTGGGCGGCGAGATCGTGACAGTGTCCCACTTGGATCGCACAATGTATTTGCTGGGCTATGTGCCCAAGGACAATCGCCTGTACCTGGGCGACAAGGAGCTGAACGTGATAAGCTTCTGCATGCATTTGTCCGTGCTGGAGTACCAGACGGCGGTGATGCGACGAGACTTTGAGCGCGCGGACATTGTGCTGCCCACCATTCCCAAGGAGCACCGCACTCGCGTAGCCCACTTCCTGGAGAAACAGGGCTTCAAGTCGCAGGCCCTGCAAGTATCCACCGATGCCGACCACAAGTTCGATTTGGCCCTGCAAATCGGGGAGTTGGACATTGCTCTTACTTTGGCCCGCGAGTCGGAGAACTCCCAGAAATGGTCCCAACTGGCGGATGTGGCGGCGCGCAAAAACAACATGGCCCTGGTCAAGGAGTGCATGCAGAAGGCGAACGACTTCAGTGGTCTCCTGCTGCTCTCAACCGCTTCCGGCGATGCTCAGATGCTCGAAGAGGTGGGCAGCTCCGGCACCGCCCAGGGGCGCCACAACATTGCCTTCCTGGCAGCCTTCCTGCGGTCGGACGTGAACCGCTGCCTGGAGATTCTCATCGAGACGAACCGCCTGCCGGAGGCAGCGTTCTTCGCCCGCACCTACCTGCCCAGCCAGATGTCGAGAGTGGTGGAGCTGTGGCGCGAGGAGCTGGGCAAGGTGAACGAGAAGGCGGGCCAGTCGCTGGCCGATCCGGCTCAGTACACAAATCTCTTCCCGGGTCTGGGCGACGCGCTGCGCGTGGAGCAACATCTGCAGGAGGAGCGGGCACGCAAAGCACCGGCGCGTCTGGCCGGGCAACTGCCCCTGAACAGCGAGCGTAATCCCCTCCAGGAACTTCAGGCCGCCGAGCAGGGCGGCGCCGGCCAACAGCTGGAGGAGAAGGCGAAGCCGACTTTTGTTCCCGCACAAGCTGCTGCTGCCGCCTTCAGCAGCCAGGTGGTCGAGCCTTCTTCTGCCGCGGATGACGACGACGACCTGGACCTGGAGATCGATGGCATCACGCTGGATGACAATATCGATACGACAGATGTGAACCTGGATGATGACTTTTTGAGCGACGATTAGGGCGGGACGAGATCGCAGCCAGATCTAGAATACCATTTAAAACCTAAAACCATCGTTTACTGCTACGGGAGTCCCACATTTCGAGCATTTCGAGCCACAGAATTCCGCGCATACATTCACATTTGATTTGATTGAATGTTGTTTAAATATATATCTATTAATATTATGTACAACAGTAAAGGAGCAAAAAATGCAATAAATACTTATACAAAAAATTCAAATTAAGCGGGCCTTTGTTTTGCCCCCACAAGGAAATCGATAACGTGGGTATCGATTAAATGTTACGCCCACACTTCAAGAAATTCAAAATAAAAAAGACGACCCGTTATTTGATGTTATATATTTTTATATTTTGCTTTACAAGTAGAATGTAATAACTTTTAATGCGAAAAATAGTCTTTTAAATTTTGTTATTCCGCTATAATAGAGCAATAAACTTACAAGTTGAAATGTTAAAAAAAAAAACCCAGTAGGCTTATTAAAATAAATAGCTCAACTATATATATTGAAATTACTTGTATTTATAAAAATAGTGAAAAAGCAATTTACTTATTTTGATTTTAATATATATTTTTTAAACAAATTAAAAAAAAAATAAATTCCAAACAAAAATTTGGAAAGTGTTTAAAAAATTTCCAATTTGAAAACCCCCTTTTTTGGATAGGATGAGTAATGGTAAGTAATTTTGGTGTAAATAAAATTACAATGTAATCATCAAGTTATAAAAATTAAATATATGGCAGTAGGGTAAATCCCGTTCTTTGGTGTAAGAATAAAATATATTATTATAAATCATGGTATTATAATAATTTGTAATATATTTTCATTGGTTCTTGTACACTACACTACACAGTTATCAAAATTTCAATATTTCAAAGTCCCGTTTTTGGGGGTGAGAATAACAGCAATTGAGTAGGCAACCTGTCAAAAGTCCGGCAACCACGTTCATCAGTATACATACATACAATTCGTGTGTGCGTCTGGATTTTGCTGTATTTTTTATTTAAGAATGAATTATTAACTAACCATTAATAAATTATTATTAAATAAAAAACAGTTAAAAACCGCGAATCAAGCGTGAGTGTTGTCCTGAAGTCCGGAGCGGCGGGAGTTGTCCACTTTTGTCCGGAGCCCGCTGCTCGTTGGATTTGTATCGATTTTTCGGCCACATATTAACACCAAGAACCCAATCCCAAACCCAAACAGATACACACCGAGTCCTTTCTTCCGTATAAAACCGTAGGCAACAGGAACACCATGGACCAGGAGAACTTCCACGGGCACAACCTGCCGCAGCAGCTGCAGAACCTGCACATCCAACAGCAGCAGGCGCCCCAGCAGCAGTCACTTCAGAATCCCGTCCAGACCGGATTTGCTCCGCGGCGACAGTACGAGAATCTGGGTGGCAACGGCCTGGGCAATGGCAATCCCGGTGCCGGCAGTCCCGTCAAGGGTGCTCCGCTGGGGCAGCGCCCGGTGAAGATCAAGAAGGAGAAGGTGCCGCAGCAGCCGTCTCAGCCATGTCAGCTGCAACTGTCGGAGCTGGGAGATGCCGCAGGAATGGGAGTTCCATTGGGTGGACTCATGCCCAGTGACGAGGCCCTCAAGTTCGTCTCCGAGACGGATGCCAATGGGCTGGCCATGAAGACGCCCGTCAGCATTCTGCAAGAGCTGCTCAGCAGGCGGGGCATTACGCCCGGCTACGAGCTCGTCCAGATCGAGGGCGCCATTCACGAGCCGACCTTCCGGTTTCGTGTGTCCTTCAAGGACAAGGACACACCCTTCACGGCCATGGGTGCGGGACGCTCGAAGAAGGAGGCCAAGCATGCGGCGGCCCGTGCGCTCATCGACAAGCTGATCGGCGCCCAGCTGCCGGAATCGCCCAGCAGCTCCGCCGGTCCGTCGGTGAGTGGGCTCACGGTCGCCGGAAGTGGTGGAGACGGCAATGCCAATGCCACCGGCGGAGGAGAGTGAGTTGCCTGCTGCTGAGAATCCTGCTGGGAGTTATACCCCATCTAATCCTTGTAATCTCTTACAGCGCCGGCGACAAGATCGTGGGCAATCCCATTGGCTGGCTGCAGGAGCTGTGCATGCAACGGCGTTGGCCACCACCATCGTACGAAACGGAAACAGAAGTGGGTCTGCCCCACGAGCGGCTCTTCACGATCGCCTGCTCGATCCTCAACTACCGCGAGATGGGCAAGGGCAAGAGCAAGAAGATTGCCAAGCGCCTGGCCGCCCACCGCATGTGGATGCGGCTGCAGGAGACGCCCATCGATTCGGCCAAGATCAGCGACAGCATCTGCGGCGAGTTGGAGGGCGAAGTGAGTACCACCATCCAAGACACGAGCAGCACATTTAGCGATCGATATGTGCGCATCGCTGAAGATTTTCAGTTGCTTGAGATTTAACCCGGGAAGCCAAGTGCCCCACTCTTTTCAATCCCGCTATATATGTGCATGCCTTTCATGACAGACTTATTCAATTTAATTGGTTGCGGACTGTCTTAGTTTGTATATTTCTGTAGAAAATCTTTCTTATTATTGTGTTTTTATGACCCTTCTTTTTACAAACCTGACATATTTTTTATAAGAATGCAAATTAAATATATGATCTATTAAACCTAGTAGTTTCTCACATGTATAATGTGCCTTAATTGCTTTTAAACACCACTCTAAAATCTTAAATACTAACCCAAATTTTACGTTTACCAAGTATGACTTCTAAACTAATAAATACGAATTTGTAACAATTAAATGTGAGAATTAACCGATTTTTGGATTGGTGTTTCACCATAATTAAGCCTAAGCCGCCATCGTACAAAGTTAAATTAGTTCGAATTTTAGCTATTATTATTAGCAATCTGAAATCAATTATAGAAATGTTGCCAAAAGTTGTAAACCTGGTTTTATTCGTTGATTTATATTTATTGTGGTATATATTGGTTGCCTTCTTTCGATTCTTTCTTATTTATTTGACAACAGAACAAGTACTTAGAACTTCAAGCTCGACCTTTGCACCCATCCCACATCCAAGTGATATGTTTCAACTCACCATTTGCGTGGGTGATTTCGATTGTGTGCATCATAATAAATCGGAGAAAAAGAAACCAACCACTTTGCGCTCTTATTTACAGCCCCGCAGTAGCGAAAATTATTATGGTGAATTGAAAGATATCTCTGTGCCGACACTCACCACGCAGCACAGTAACAAAGTATCCCAGTTCCATAAGACCCTCAAAAATGCGACGGGCAAAAAACTGCTCAAGTTACAGGTAATTTCACTGTCACAGAATCACACACACAATTTGCAAATAAAACGAAATCCTGAGTAAATTATTTGCGAATAAAAAGAAAAATTCAAGATTTAATCAACTTTAAACTGTCGAAACTCCAATCAGCTTTTTAAATTAAAGTTCATTTTTAACAAATCATAATCTGCTTTTCACTAAATTCTGATTTGCTTTCCTTATAATAAGCTTTAAATATATTGCATTAAAGCATTAATATTAATTAAGTTTATTTGCCTTTAAATCTTTAAGGCTAGGAAATGGTACACCGTTTAGATTTTGAAGCTATTATTCTTTAAATTATAAAATCAAAATTATTTTACAGACTACTAAAATTTAGTTTATATTTTTGTCAGATTTTTAAAAATGTACCTATTATTTTTGTCAAATTTTTCAACTCTTTTCTTATAACTTACCTTAGTCTCCTGTACTTTTTTTAAATAATTATATTGCGTTTTCTCGGTGGTTAATATTGCTTTTTTTATCCTACAAACCCAAGCTTACACTTTGAGTATAGATTTAATTTAATTTTTTTTGACCTAATACTTCAAATTTCGTTTATGTCTTAAAATTCAGAAGCTTGGCTTCTTATTTATTAGAGCTAATGCATTTGTGCATACTTGTATATAGGAAACCTTACTCTCTGTGAGACCTATTTAATTGCACATTTATTTTGAGACTCCTCTAATATGGTAACCTATGTTTCGCTTCCAGAAGACTTGCCTAAAGAGCACCAAAATCGACTACATCAAGCTGCTGGGCGAGATCGCGACCGAGAACCAGTTCGAGGTGACCTACGTGGACATCGAGGAGAAGACCTTCACTGGCCAGTTCCAGTGTTTGGTTCAGCTCTCCACGCTGCCCGTGGGCGTTTGCCATGGAAGCGGTCCGACGGCCGCCGATGCCCAGCGGCATGCCGCCCAGAACGCTCTCGAGTATTTGAAGATCATGACCAAGAAATAGGAGGGGCAGCCAACTGTATAGCAAAATCTGAACGCACACCACGACCACGAGGATATGGCGCTACCAATTACGGATTCAAGAGTTATCCTAACCAAATAGTTCCCTTCCTACCGGGAGTGTCCAAGCGCCATTTGTGGCTCAGAGCAATGGCGATATAATTTATATTTGTTTCTTTCACGATTCCTTTGATTAGGCAGTTGACTTTTCTTTACTATATATGTAAATGTTCATATATGTACACTTAACAACGTATGTACACTTGCATATACAGACAAGTGTGTAATCTATATTGGAATCTTATTGTCGCTTTGAAATTGTTTATAACTTTAGCAAATCGAAAGCCACATCAAAGCCCAATAAATCTAATAACACTAGCTAACTAGGCCTAAGATAGATCGCGTGGTTTGCTCTTCGGAGGTGATAAGGCTTATGAATATATTCGGTATTTCGGTAATCGCAACTTTAAATGACTTTATACTTGGGAGGTTATCACTGGTTTTTTACTTCTAGTGCTGGAAAACATTAGTACAATACTTTCTACAATACTTTTTTTTTTAATTTTTAATAAAAAAAAAAAGCAGATAGTAGCTCTCTTATTGAAATATGATTGTTCCTGTTCCGGATTTTTATTGTAGTACTGCTGTAAACAAGAGATACAAAATAAAATCTAATTTTGTGGTCATAAAATTCCCTTAATAATCTTACCAAAATACTAACAAAATTGGAAATATAAATTAATGACAGTTACATGCCAGAACTTTATTTTAATTAGTAAATTAGTGCTTAAGCTAGTTGTATTCTACGTTCTTATAAAGGATGGCATCTATTTCTTCTTCCGGTCCTGCGTGCACTTGGGACAGAACCACTTGCCCTTCGGCTTTGTGGTGAGGCCAACGCAGGCGAAGTGGAACCACTCGATGGGACACTGAATAGGGGTGGAGAATCCTTAAGAACTGACCACTCAATGAGTGAAAAGCGGATACTCACGTCGGGATTGTCGCAGCCAATCATCTCGCCATAGGACACCTGGTGGCACAAACAATACGTTGGCTCGTTGGGGTCGACGGGCATGTCCATGACGTCGCTGGGATGCGTGGCGGCCGTGTGGCACGATTCCTTTTCGGAGTCATCCACTTCGACGGTTTTCTGAGTGGAGAATTAACAGAATCATAAGTAATGGCTTTCCAGATGGTAGTCTCTTGCAGATACATAAGTTAAAATGCAAACGACAATCTGAAGACAATGGAGAATGCAGGATATCTACGGGGAGTAAGCTACAAAATAGGAACTAATTCTTCTACATCGGGCCAACCAAAACTGGGAAAACGGGTAAACAAACTAGAGTACTAACAATGTATATGAGAATGTGGATGGTTTACCTTTTGTGCGCCCCCCTTGCGAGTTTCTTTTTCTTGATTTACCTTGGACTTTTTCTTTTTGGTACCTTGCCCGGCATTGCTGCTCGAATTGAGGCTGGAATTGGCGTTGGTCTGGTTGCTGCCACGCCCAGTGTCCTCGTCCGAGGAGGCGGACTTCTTTTTCTTGCCCGTCGCCTTGCTGTCCTTGGTCTTTTTGCGACCCTCTGCAGGAAGGAGTCAAAGTAGAAGCTTAGCTTATGGAAAGTGGGACACCAAAGTTCACTCTTACTCTTGGCCACCACTTCCTCGGATTTGGCACGCGTGGAGGAAGCCTTCTCCTGGATCTCGCCTTCAAAACGGGCCAGGTCGTTGTCCAGGCGTCGGATCTGCTTGTCCACCAGCTCGTATGTCTGGATGGCCAGCTGCACCTTGTCGTCGCTGTACTCCTTGGCCTTTCCGAACAGCGCCTTGATGTCCTCCTGGCGCTCCTTGCGCTCCTCGTCGCTCATGGCCCCGTTCTCGCCCAGCTTTCGCATGAAATCCTTGGCATGGCTGTCGATGCTCTTCATTGCGGTTTGGGCGCGATCGTCCAGTTTCCGCATCAGCTTAAAGTTTCGCTCCAGCTCGGTGGGCAAACTCTCCAGGCCTGTTTGGAAATGGCAGATATTGGATATTGAGGTTTCCCGCCTGTTTTCAGATGTAACTATGTACCCACCATCCAGATAGTTCTCCAAATATATAGCGGATGACATTTTATAACCAAAATGTAGTTATTAACAAGCTATTTAGGCTGTATAAGAAGACAACAGCGTATATTTACTATTTAGCAACTGTTGGTGCGTGGGCTGGTTTGTTATCGATAACACACTAACTATCGATAATATAACAGTGGTTGGCAGCAGCATATATTTTGGTAATTTAGGGAACAATAGTGACGATTGAGCAACAGCTGATTGCTTATTATCGACAACTTTGCAGAGCCTGGCAACTCTACTTATATAAATCGCAATTTATTTGTTTTGATTTTATTTACTAGATTGAAACAAAGTTGTTAAGAATGAGTGCCAGTTCTGGGGGATCCTGGATAAATGCCATCTACGATGAAGTGGCCCTCGAAGGCTTGGAAGGGGTGACACTGCCCTGTAAGAGATTACCTTTCTAAAAGCACAAGAAATCAAGTAAATCCCAATGCCATTTTCAGATCTGTGGGACTTGCTGGCCAGGCGCCTCGAGTTTGCACCTTCTCCGCTGCCCGATAGGATTCGGGAGCAGGCGTGGACCCTGCTGCTCCGAACACCGCTCCACAAGATCGAGTTCTTTGAGCTGCCGGCAGAGCGTCCTCTGATGCCCTTCTACGATCGCCTCAACGACATGGACGAGCAACTGGGCATGCCCGTGGTGCCGGAGCAGTGCCCTTATATGTTGTACCCACCCGCCTACGTGCAAGAGGACGGCGTCATGGGTAACTGCAGTGACTTCAAGACCCGCAAACCCATCCCGGCCAGCGATCTGCAGGCTCTGAATGCCGCCCAAGCCACCGATCAGTGGGCTGGCCGGCTCGTCGTGGTGGCCTCGCAGGAACTGCGGGAAACGGCGCTGACCCCCAATAACCTCATGCTGCCCCAGCGCCTGCCGCTGCCCAACTACATCTTCCTGGAGGCCATCGGACGGATGCGCTACAGCGGCCACACCACCGGAGGCCCTTGGTCGCTGATCAACTACAGCAAGGACACTGGAATCCTCTTCTATATCAAGTGAGTTGCAGTCCTTTTGTTATAAGTTATTAAGAACTAAAATAAATTAACTTAAAGTTGTCGTAAAGGTATGTTTTGCAGCACCATACACTACATATTTTGACCGCAGCTGCATGTCTTTAAGTTTTATAGATTTTAATTCAATCAAGTCATTTTTTCCAGAAACAAACTGCTAAACTTGCAGTTGATCACTGCCCAGAACTATAACGAAATCAACAAGGGTCGCTTCTTGGTTTCTTCGCTGCTGATGCTGCCGCGCTTTCACCGGATCTACAAAAACCACTCGCAGCAGAACCTCGAGAAGCTGTACCTGGGTATAATGCGGACCAGCAGTCGCCAAGTGCCCGTCACCGAATTGACCGAGCTGCTCGGACGACCGACCCATTTCAAGCCGAAGAAGCTGCTGGTCACCCACGCCTTTCGCAAGTTCTTCGAGACCAAGCAAGTGGAGAAGGCCGTCAACGTGCTGACCAAGTCGGGGAAGCAGTCCAAGTCAACCACACGCAAGGTGACCGTAATACAGCTGCGCAATCCCAATATGCAGCTGGAAGACCTGTACAAGAGCGAGGAAAGTGAGGAGAATCCGGTGTCCGAGTTCCTGGATGTGGGACACTGCTACCTGGACATGCCTCCCGAGGAGGAGGTGCTCCGCGCTGTGGCCAGGTTTGGCAAACGTGGCCTAAACAGCACCGAATTGTCCCATTACACGGGGATCAATGCAAACTCAATGCGCCACTTTGTCAAGCGGATGAATAAAAATGGCCAGGTCAAGGAGTACTCGGAGCAGGTGGGCAAGAGCCGCCAGTTCCGCTTGGTGGCCGTCGAGCACTTAGAGGACCTTGCTAAGGACGATGTAATCAAGAAGAAGGAGAAGGAAATCAAGTGCGCCGATGAGCCGGTAAGTGATGGTCTTTGAATAATAGCGCACTCTAATACATGTTATTTCCTTTCCAGAATTTTACCGAAAGCAATGAAATCACGCTCAAGGACATGCCCGAAATCGTGATGAATGCCCGACCCATAGCGTTTAAGCTAAAGAAGACCAGGACGACTAACCAGACGCAGCGCCAACTTGGCCGCCAGAGATTTATTACACGCCAAATTGATGAGCACTGCCTGGTGGCCCTGCATCGGTTGCAAAAGAACCTCCAGGCAGAGGAGCGCCAGGCTGGCTTCAAGGACAGCCTGTGCCGTCGCTCGTTGCTGCGCCTGCTGCGTCCCTTGGTGGAGGATCATGTCATCAACGTCTTCGAGATCACCCTTCACTACCAGCAGCGAGTTCGCGTCTACCGCTTCGCCACGCACCCGAAGATTGGACTTGATCACGTGGTGATGAAACGCGAAATCCTCAAGCTCAAGAGCAACTTCCATTTGCTCACCGAGGAGCGCATGAAGCGACCGTCGCAGCTGCATCCCCGGGAACGCAAGGAGGTGCTGGCACGTCGTAAACTGGTGGCAGAGCGTCCAGCAGTGGTGTGCAAGACGCAGGCGCCCAAGCTGCTGCTGGCCAGGACTCTGCACGAGTTCTTGTACTATCTGTACCATCAGCTGTCGTTGGATCAAAAGCCCATTCCCATGACCGTCGAACTGGTGCAGCAGTGGCAGAAATCAGAGCCAGCGTTGCAGCCACGTCAGTTCCTAGAAGAGTGGCAGGCGGAGGAGGATTCCGTGCAGCCCTATACCGAAGACATCAGCTGGCGCACCTTTATCCCACCGTTGCCACGGTACGAGGACAAACCATCCGGCTGGCTGTACTTCATGGACGCCATGGATCGAATGCCGCTGTCCCTCTTCCTGCGCATCTGCCGCATTGAGCGCGAGGCCAGCGACGAGTTGCGTCTCCAGCTGCAGCATCCCATCCGGCAGCACTACCTGCTGTCGCAGCTCAAGTTGGACACCATTGTGCCGCGCCTCAAGTTGCAGCAACTGTACGTGGGCACTCTGCGGCTACTGAACAACATGGGTCTGATTCAGGTAATCCACTTAAGCGCTTAATCGATTTAAAGCTACAATGCAAAAACTCTAAACTCTGTTTTAGGTGAGCGAGCAAAAGCTGGGTCGCGACTCGCTGCATCGCTGGGTGTTCCTCAATCAGCGCACCCGCCTGCTGGACACCACATCCAGCACCGAGCACAACTACATGCAGGTCAGCGCCGATCGCTCGTACACACAGCTCAACTTCGAGTTCTTCAACGCCGAGCAAGTGGGCAACTACTGGGCCAAGCTGCAGCACATCTGCATCTACACAAAGCTCGGCTACCGCAAGACCTTGAGCTCGCAGAAGAAGCTACCGGCGCGCCTGAAGGTCCTCGTATTCCAGCCCACCGTTGAGTTTGACCAGGCCGTTGAGCTGGACAATGGTTCGGTTCCGGGTGATCACCTGGGCGCCGCTGGCTTGAGCTCGCACTTGTTTGCCCATCAGTTTCGTCACTGGTCGTGGGTGCAGCGTCAGAATGGCGGCAAATCGGCTGCAGCGAGGGAGCGGGCAAAGAAACCAGTCCGGAAACGGGCCACCATTATGCGTCTGAAGATTGGTCCCCGGCTGGCGGTACGCAAAACTCGCGATCTGCCTGCCACTAAGACAACAAAAAACAAGACGACAGGTCCGCGCGACGACATCGACCGGGATGCGTTGCGAAACATGCGGACACTACGTGTTAAATGGGCGCCGGAGGAGGATCGCCTGCTCAAGATGGGTCGGGCTGTCTACATGTTCATAGACGCACCCACCATGACCCTCACCTTGTGTGACTTGGCCTTGGTCTGCCGGGATTTAATACGCCGCTGGTTGGGCATCTGCAACAAGACCACCCAGGCATGTGTGCGTCGCGTGCAGTTCCTGGTGAAGATGAGGCGCGACATTCCGGACGTGCCCGGCTGGATCTATGCCATGCAGACGCAGCCGCAGTTCACCAAGGTCTACAACGATCGATTCCTGAGTCAGCTGAAGCGGGACTATCCCAACAAGACCGACTTCCAAGGGGCGCTGATGGTTCATTTTGCACTCATGATGGCCAAGTTGCAGCGGATGGTCGCCAAGTCGGTGAGTTGCAACCACAAAATCGTAATGATTATAATTATTTATAAGAAAAATTGCAAAAACAAATTGTATTTATATTTGTAATTGTAATAACTCTTATGTACGATCTCTGGTTACAACCATATCATCATCTTAAACCCCTTCCAGCAAGGATCTGTCACCCGGCAGTTCCTACTGCCCGACTCCTTGGATGCCTTTGGCAACCAACTGCGCGAGTGTCGGTCGGCGCACGAGGAGCAGCAGTTGCTCTTCCAGGATCCCGCTACGGAAACGGATCTCCAGGTGGCCGTGGCGCACGGAGTGCTGCACAGCAATATATGCTGTGCCAAGGACAAGACCTTGCTGAATCTGCAGACCTTCGAGATCTACAAACACTTCTCCGAGGAGGTACTCAACTCAGCCTTCAACAAGGCACGGGCGGATTCGCTGCTGGTGGCGGTGAAGCGACGCAATATCCAGTCGGCGGCTAGCCGCCAAATCTCTGGACCTGGTCACCTACTCAGCTCCAAGTACAAGTACCGGCTGACCTACACCAAGCTGACGCACTTCGTCTACGATGGCTACTTCGCCTTGGACAAGAAGTTGCGGGATGAGCAGGAATTGCAGCTGGCCTCGCCGCACTTTGCCCAACTGCTGGTGATGAGCGAGTGGCTGTCGGAGAACAGGCTGCGCCTATCGCTACAGCTGCCGGCGAACATCCTGACCGTGGACACGTCCACCATGGGTCGCCAGAGTGGCTCTGCCTCGGACCGCATTCTGGATCACTACAGCTGCATGTTTGACAACGCTCCGCACACCGAGTACTCGAAGAGGCTGGAGGGCGAGAGCAGTGGCCGCCAGTCGTCGCGGGTTCGCTTCCATCCCGCCAATCTGAGCTTCCGCCTGCCGGCCAGTGCGTACAATCAGCTCTCCAAGCTGCCGCTGCGGGCCATGCACTTCTTCTGCGCCTTGGACGCTTTGGGTGAGGCCATCACTGTGAGTCAGGCGCGTTTGGAGCAGGGCGATTGCCCCTTTGCCAACTGCATCATGCGCAGCGGCAACTATCTGAACGCCGTGGAGCGGATAGCGCACGAACAGAGGCCCATCCTGCGGCAACTGGTGGCCGATGCCCTGCCCTCGTCGCAGCAGTTCCAACTGGACACCCACCCGGCGGGCAGCCCGCTCACTGTGAACATCTCGAATCTGCTGGCATTCGCCCAGCAACTGGAGGCTTACTGGCGGCGACAACAGCAGCCCATGGAGCTGAAGGACTTGGGCAAGCAGCTGGCCGAGAAAACCCTGCACAAGCTCACCGACTGGCGCTCCATTTGCGCCGAGTTGCTTGACGATGAGCCACATTCCTGGGAAGCGGATCGCGTCCAGGAATACGAGCCGGCATTGAATAAGGAAGAGCGAGCCCGGGCGCAAGATGTTTTCGTGGTTCACTTGCCCACCATAAGCATGAAGATCGTAGAACAACCAGAGGGCAAACAGGCCATTGACAACATGCGCTCCTTTGTGCTGGACAAGGTGCTCAAGTATGTGCTCACAACTATCTCCCCTGGCTTTCAGTTTTCAATAATAAGTATATTGCTTTCAGGGCGGCCTACTGGAAGTATACCGAAAACACCTTTGACACCCTTCGACCCGTCCTCCATGAAAGAGGATTCGATGCTCGTGCCATTCGCCACATGGAGGACATACTCAAGCATATTGAACAGCAACCACTTGGTGCTAAAGGATTGGAGTTGCGCAGGATCTTTCCACTGGGCGACTTCCTGTTGGAAACGCTGCACCTTCTCGCCGACCATGATCTCATCAAGCGAGTGGGCATAGTTGGTCACATGTACGTCCACAAAAACCACATACGCAACTGGGTGGTGCACACCTTTCACATCAAGCGCTTGGAGCGGGAGAAAGTGCAGCCCCAGGTGGCGGCGGCACCGGGAACACTGTTAGCCGTCGTTGGTCACAAGCGCAGACTGGAGGCTACGGAAACGTCCAGTTCGATACCGGAGAAGAAGATCAAACTTATGGAGCAGCAGAGCACAGGAAGTGACAGCGATGAGGCGGGAGGATCTGCTGCCAAGCGTCCAAAAAGGGTAAAGCGCAAGGATACGTCCACTGGAGTGGCTAATTCTGCGATCGAGGCCTCCCGGGATGCGATTGCCATGAGGCCACAGCCGTGGATACGGGTGAATGCTTCCCTTAACCGCCGCGTCCTCGATCGCTGGCTGGGAGCCATCCTCAGTGAGAGCATCTCCCGCGTCGGCTGCACTGTGCACAGCTTGTTTTTGAGGTTTTCGCACTTGGTGCCGGTGGATATTATGTTCCTGTTGGAACTCCTGCACGATCTGGGTTGTGTACAGCTCGTGGAGATGCGGCCGCTCAAGGTGCATGTGGAATCGCTGCTGGAGGACGATGACGCGGATGGCGAAGAGCAGCCAGTCACCGAGCTCTACGATCCGATGCAGACCTACGTTCAAGTGCATGGGTGCGCCGTCGGCAGGCTCACCAACTTTATTGGCCTCAAAAAATATAACACCGAATTTATTTAGGGTTTGTTTTAAAATTCCTCCTGAGCTAATGACTATGAACTCCAATTAATTTATAAAAGAGAAAACAAATGATGACTAGTTTTGTAAGCCTATGTTTGTGTTATGCACAATTTTTCTAAAAAAAAAAGAAGATTAAAAACCTCCTGTTAAATATTCACAAGTGTCATTAGTTAATATTGGGGAAACAATTTAAGTTTTGTTTATAATTATGACATTAATCAAAGAAAAGTTACACTTTTATCGAACATTACTCATAAATATTCTGGATCTTTCAAATGTGAATTAGTCAATAAGATGCTAAAAAGAGGCAAATGCATAGCAAGTACTTCTGGTAAATCTTATTTTGATATCCAATTATTGATATTATCATTTTTGATCCAAAATGATTTGCAAAATCACCATGTGCATTCTTCTTTTTTTTAATTAATTCCACTTTATAAGAAAACAAGAACACGCGATAGGTTTTTTTTTTGATCACCGCGAATTCGCATTCGTGGCTTTTTGTTTAATTTTCAATTCACTTGTGGTTCCTTAAATCCTGGATTAACTTTAGCACATCACTACCGTCGAGGAGGAGATGGTTGGTTGGTTGGGTTTACCGGTGTTTACCGCTTGCCTCCGACGCGGGGAGCAGCCTTCTGCGTGACCTTGGCGGCCTTGGCCTTGGGCGCCGACTTCTTGGCGGGAGCGGGGGCGGCAGCCTTCTTGGCGGCCTTGACGGCACGCTTCTGCTCCTTGGCCACCTTGATGGCCTGGTCGCGCTGCGCCTTGCGCACCTCCGGCTTCATGTTGCGCTTGGCCATGATCTCGGCCAGCGAGGCACCGACGATGGCGCGCTGGAACTTCTGGGTGCGGCGGGTGCGCTTCTTGGAGGCCTCCTCCTCGATTCCCTTGCGGTGCTTGCGGCGGTACAGCACGGTCCACGTAACCTTGCGGGGATTGCGCTTCATCAGGTAGGAGCGCTCGCACTTCTTGTCCAGGAAGGTGAAGGACTGGAAGGACGCAAGCGTTTATTAGTCACTGGACTCGATGGAGTTTTCACGGAGTTCTTACCTTGCCATCGACCTTAACCATGGTCTTGCCATGGCCGGGGTAGATTTTGTACCCGCTGAATGCACACAAGCCAATTCTGTAAATGAAAACACACTCATTAGCGGGGGCACTCTATACTATTGCCAAAGTAGGCTTGGCCTATGCCAAATAACACAATTAACCGTGTATTTGCACAATTTTCGATAACATACTTCATCTTGCTGGCGTAGAAACACGAAAAGAAAAGAAAACGGAAGTGGAAACGAAAAGCAGAGCCAAATTAGAGTGGCTGCCGCGTGCGCAGATAAGGGGCTAAAAAATACCTCCACGTGCCGACACCGTGCTGTTAAGAGCGTGCTGTTAGGCGCACACAATTTGAAAATTTAATTGTGTTAAATTTCCAAAGCAGAGAAAAATTTTCCAAAGATTAACAATTAACAAGCCATTATTCGAAATAAAGTTCTTTTATTTGAGAGATTTTGTTAGACCCAATTCAATCAATTGACCCAATCATTTAAATGTGTTTCATTTGTATTCGAAACGGAGTCTTTTATTTGTGCGGTTTATATGAATGTTAGCCATCCTGAACCTGCTGCTCCAACTCGAAATTCTCCTCATCCGCATAGTTGGTTTGCGGCTCTCCTACGCGCAAAAGTTTTCCAACAAGTGGATACTTCTCCTTGTACTGCTGATCCCACTCCCTCAAAGTGTTCATTTGGCTGATCGAAAGGTCGCTCAAGTCATCGAATTCTTCGCTATCATTCAACTCCACCGAGAAATGTATCAAGTTCCGTGAAATATCCCGTCCGGCGTAGGTTGGATAAACGCCACCTCGTCCGTAATAGTGCTTGGATCGCGAAACGTCGTAGACATTGAAGTTAATGGCCACCAGGATGCGACCGTCCTCCCGGTTACCGTCGTACTCGCGAAGTTCAGGGATCGTAAAGTCCTTCCGTAGAGGTGGAAGCTTATCGTTTCCCACATCGATTGGACCTGCTTCCCTTGGATTCTCATAGCGATGAGCTTGATGACGTCGCCTTGTAAGTCTCACAATCTTGTAGAACACGATGGTGGAAATAATCACGAGTGTCACGTTAATGGGCATCTGCTTAATGCTGCTGAAGAAGCTGGAATACCAGGCTAAGCTCTTATCCATAACCCTGGAACTGCTGGCCATCCTGAAGCTCTGAAATCAAGAGTCTAGATAAATTTAAATTTTTGTTTTGTTTTTTTTTTTTAAAAGACTTCCTGAGTATACCCACTAATTTTCCAGGTACTGATATTATTTGTTTAATGTCATGTTAACAGCCTACTTTTCCTACTTAAAACTGACAGTTTGGAATTTTAATATATGAGATGTTTATAGCCCATTTCTAACTAGACGAAAAACAATTTTTTTTCCTGATTAGAAATTATATGTTTTTTTTAATTATCTGTTAGATAAGCGATTTTTCTTGAGCCCAAACTTGGTTCACATTGCTTTTATTAAGATGCATAAACAGGTTACACAATACTCTATAAAAATGTTAAGATACAATTGGTACTATAGAATTCCTTCCTTATTGCACCGCCATCGGTCCATCCCTCTCGAAAACAGTGCGTTCCGTGACGAAAACCCGCTTGGATCGCTTGTTGGTGACGCTTTCGATGGCCTCGTTGAAATCCAACAGAGCCCGGCTGAATTCAGTGTCGTTCTCTATCATCCTGAGGAACATGGTGGCGTCATCCTCCACTTTGGGCTCCTGCTCCTTCTTGGCCTGAATTTTTTTCTTTTTGGCGTCTATTTTCTCCTTGGACTTGCGTTCCTCCTCCAGATGAAGTGAGGTCAAGCGCTTCTTCAGCTTAATCTCCTCCTCACGAGCCTCCAAAAGTTTGCAGCGCGATATCTCGCGCTCAAACATCTGTACTTGGAAAAATGAAATAAAAATTTGGTTTTTATGCATAATGTTTAAAAACAAGAAACATATTTTTTTTAAAGAATTTTTCTTTATCTTGCGTAGAAACGGACAAACGTACAAACGAACGGACAGACGGACATGGTTGAATCGAGTTTCCCTCCCAAGAGTATATATATATTTCTTAGAACCAAAAATATCTACTTCACTACGTTGCATTTTTACGACTGAAATTATAACACTCTCTGCAGATGTAAAAAAAAGAACGATTTCTGGAAAGGATTACTAGAACTTACCGCCATCATGAGGGACTTCTCCTTGACCGTGGCACTTCGCATGCCCTCCTCCAAGCGGAGCATGGCACAGTCGCCGTTGGCCAGACTCACGGTGAGAATGGATCCGTCGGGCTTGAACACCAAATGGGTGATGGCGTGCTTGTACTTGATGGTCATGATTGGCTCCGAGTGGGACATGAGCAGGTCCCAGAACTCCAGGTTGCCCTGGACATCGCCGGTGCAGAAGAGCGAGCAGCGTCCAGTGCTCCAGGCTCCGCTGATCAGCTGGTGCTTGCGGCGGATGTAGAACGTGCTGGGGCAGTTCTTCACCTCCTCCGACCAGATGCGCACCCGCCAGTCCCCGATCAGGATGAAGTTCTTCACGAAGAAGGGATTGCGCATCACGACGCGAATGGGGCCGGCCAATAGTTGGTAGCAGCCGACGAGGGTCTCCGACGGAGTGGTTCCCTTGCGGTTGCCCACGAACACGTAGCCCATGTCCGTGCCAGCGATGAAGCGCACCGGGATGGTGTACTCGAACTCCAGGACAGTGACGCCATGTGCGTCCTGTCGGTTTTGCTCCTGCCCGGGATACGGTTCGGCCAGCACCTCGTACACCGGCATTAGCAGATCCCGGGTGTCCCAGTACTTGATCGAGCCATCCAGCGAGCCGGAATAGAACTCCGTGTTCAGCTTCGAGTGCACCCAGCAGAGGGCCGACGTCTCCTCGCGATGACTAGCCTCCAGGGGGCACATCGCCTTGGCGCCACCCATGCTTTCCGTGTGCCAAAAGCACACCTGACCCTCCTGCAGTCCACCCACCATGTAGTTCTCATCCCGAATGCACACCTTGGCGATCCGGAGCACGCTTTTCGTATCGAAATGGGCCACCGGACGAATGGCGTCGTCGAAGTCCCAAATGTAGATCGCATTGGCATTGTTGTTGCCAAAGTCCGGCAAAATATTCAGCGGCTTTGAGTAATCCGGAGACAGGCTCTTCGCGTTGCAGTACGTCAGGAGAAACTGATTGGGATCGTTGTTCAGCCATTCACACATCTTGAGAGTGCGGCCGGGAATCCAGAGGTCGTGGAAAATGTGAATGCCCCTGGCCGCAATATTCATGCTAATGCCACTACCCAGATCCGCGGGCAGATCCTCAAAGAAGTCCTCGTAGATGTTGACAGCATTGTTGGCCGAACTGATGTCCATCACGCTGTGCATCAGTTCGCTTACCTCGATGCCCCAGGAGTCATCGCGTTCAACCTTCTTGCGGTAGCGCATGGTGGACTCCTCGTCGGCCACATTCACCTCCTTGACATTCCAGCCGCCCTCGAAGTGATTGATCCCGTGCGAATCCAGGGTCACGTTGTGGGTCAAAGCCGAGGAGACGGCGTACTGCTCGCTCAGCTGCGTCTTCTCGTTGATCGGATTGCGCAGAATGTACTTGAGGCGCAGCCGTCCACTGGACTGCACACTCAGGATCATCTCGTTGTGGTCGGAGAAGAGGCACTGCCTCCCAAAGCGGCGACGCTCCCGCGACAGGATGAACTGGTTGCCCATAGAGCCCATCGCGATATGTGGTTTGGATTACTTTACCTATTTACTTGGTTTCGAGATCTTAGAAAAAATATACACAGTTTCCTTGTGTAAAAAATATCTACATATACATTTGCCACAAATTTTCCCGAAAGAATCTGTTTTCCTTTTGTTAAACAAATTTATGAAATTACCACAAACAGAATGAAGGAATATACTGATAGCTTTGACTTGTTTGGCTCGGAGTACTTTCTTTGTAAAAAGTAAAATAGTAAATAACGATAAATAAATATTTGTATTCAAACTTAATTTAAACTTTGAAAAAAGGGGTTTTGTATGTACAAAAAACTTTACCAAAAATTACAAATGTATCAAACTTCAAGTTTAAATTACAACTTAACAGTTTGACAACAGTTTCCGGTTTGAAGTTTTCCAGCACTACTGCCTAAGGGTGACCATTTGTTGTACTGGTGCAACGCGCTAGTGCCTATGGCGCGAGATGTAACAGGTAGTCAAAAACGGTCACACTTAACAAAATAGAACGCGGAAAACATTCAACATTTTTTGAAAGCGTAGCGTCAATTAACCAATTTAATAGTGCGCAAATAAGAAACAAAGCATTTTTGCGTTGGCATTGAGTTTCCAAAAGTGATTTGGATCAATTTGCAATATGGTGGGTGTCCGAAAAGACCAGAACTTTAGGTATTAGCCCATGTTTGCGGTGTGTTTTGATAGACATATCTTTTGTTTCAGAGATGGACCTGCAACAGTTCCTTTCCTTGGAGCGCCAGCAATTGGAAAAGGAGCGCCAGCGCCTGGCCAACCAAAATCCTTGCCCCGCCGCCCTGCTAATGAATTCCACTGACCCCAAAGTGCAATGTCGCAGGGCCAAGGAGTTTAAGGAGTCCACGGAGGCCAATGAACCTGCCACCGAGGCGTCTTCCTTGGCAACCGGCGGCCAAAACGAAGAACTTCACCTGGAATTGCACCTGGATGGGGTGGATGGGGGGGAACTGCCCGAGAAGGAGGCGGTGGAGGAGGTGCTGCACCCCAGTCCCTCGAAATCGACCAAGGAATTCGCGAATCAGCGCCAGCTGCTCGTCGGCAGCGCTCGTCAGTACAAGTCGCCGGATGCGTCGATGCGGCGCAATTTGGAGAACGAGCGACCGCTCAGCGAGAACCGCTTCCCAATCCGTCGGTCGGTGAGTACACTGAAAAGAGAATAGTGAAATAAACTTATTAAATATCAATTCGATGATACAAAAGTGTAATGTACATATGTACCTTAACTGTTCAAGTTGCATATGTTCAAAATAATAAATCGCTTTATTGGAATGAAGTAGTTTGATATTCACTAATCTAATATCAAAACTAAGTATTCATCCTGAAAAATAAGAAAAAGTTCGTTTGAAAGCAGTGGTACTTGAACCTATATGTTGTATTTTGCTAAACCAACTATATAAGTACATTTATTCACAAAAACAGTTGATAAGACAATTAAGCTAATGATTTTCTGTTGCTATTGATTACCAGTAAAGGATGCTCTATTATGGCCTAGCTATAAAGCCATCTTTTGGGAAATGTTATAGATTTAACCTAGGTTTAAAAAATTTTTTTCTGTGCCCATCTAGTGATCCGCTTTGAAGCTCTAGAATGTGCGTTGCGCTTCACTGGCGCCTCTAACCGCATCGCATTGCCAATTTGTCAAGCGGCTGGCCATAAATGTGCGAAATTTGTTTCTCTACGCCTCGTTGAGCTAATCATGTATTTTCGAGCACTTCCCAAACTATTTTCAAATCTTCATATCAGTGGCACATAAGATTTCAAAGTGTTCTCATTCTTAATTCTAACTAGCTGTGTGCAATTCAGTGAGTCAAACCTTATCTAGATTTTAAAGCCCTGGTACCGGTTTAAACCATGATATAGGTTTTCATTTATTTTTATTAGGTTTTAAGAATAGCTTTTGACAAGTTCCATATGGCTTTCCTTTTTTATGTTACACCCTTCCCTGTGTTTATTTCTACTTCCAGTTCCAAATAAGAAGCTTCGAGGTAAAACTCGAGCTCGACAAATTAAACTAATTAAAAATCTATTTTTAGATCTAGTGTCAACTAATTTTTTATATGGCCATTTTAGTAGATAACTTATATTGTCATCTTCCGACTAATTCGATTATTAAACTTGAAATCATAGAACTAAGCTTATCAGAGTTGTAGTTGTTATTGCATTTACTTTTACTGCAGCTGCATTTGCAATTAGAGAACTTTAAGTTGCTTAAGGCGCATAATAAATAGATGTCCGGGCTTTCCCGTTTTCACTTTTCAATTTGCATTATTTAAGTGCTGTGAGTTCTCGCAGGGCTAGTCAATAATTGCTTGTCCATAGTTCACCCTACCGTTTAGATAGCATAGCCTATCAGTTTGCTCCCTCAGCCAAATTAGTTGGGCATTTTAATTATTCACATTATTTCTTTTTACTATTCCGTGTTTTGTTGCGTTTTGAGTGTGGCCTCGTTTCCTTCCGCTATCAATGTTGCATGGCTGTAGGTTTTTGCTACTGTAGTAAGTCCATTCCGTGCTCCAGTTACCAACCATTTCGACTCTGCTCTGTGAACGAACCATAGCCATAGCCATAGCCATTCGCCTAATGAATTTGCTGGCACCGCTCTCAGTTGTAATTCGAAGCTCGTTTGTTGCGTTTGCTATTGTTGGCTGACCTGAACTTGAAATTACTTAGCACACTACTCACTCGGTTCTCTATATACCCACCGAATTTACCCACACGAGGTGAGCGGAATGTGCGGGTGTGCCGCTGATTGCCGGCAAATCAAAAACCCAACGAACGGAACACAATCAAATGGGCAGTCTAATTGACTTGATTTTGGCAAAAGCCGGCAAGCGCCAACAAGTAAACCCAAAAGTCCAAATGACGTAAACCAAATATTGAACGAATTCTAAAAATACACAAAACTGACATGGTTCAGTTAACCCTAAGGAAGTTTAAATTTAATTGTCAATCAATCAATTGTCTAACTATAATTCACCAACGAATTATTCGGCTTTAATTTTCAGTAACATTTACTATAATAAAGCCAAAGTTTAAAAGAATTAAACAGATTAACAAATTTCTCTCCTAATTTTCATTTCTAAAATCCAAAATAAAATGTATTTTCTCTATTTTCCCTTTCCAACGTTCATTGGTGTGAAAGTGAACATTCTACATGTGTTGGTCACGCCCACCTGTCAACTCCGCCCTGCGATGAATTTCATAAATTGCTAATGATAATGGATACAACTATTGCTTCCTTCCTTTCCTGTAAATTTAAAAACAGGTCAATCAAACAAACACAATTCATTTCTTTCCACTTAACTGAAACTCCAAGCTGAAGTACAAATATTATATTATACCTATTGTATATGCATGCATATTGTATATTGCATGCATTTTCGCGTATATACATTTATACATAGATAACTTTTTGCTAATAAAATTGAGGCAAACACGGAAACTCGAACAACATTAGAATTTTACTGTTTTGTAAACGAAAGTTATGACCTGGACAAGGTTGTGAGCAGACAAGTCGTAATTAAACTGCTTGTTGAGGATGGTCGAACTAATCGTTATCCTTTCTTCAGTCGTTATGACGTTGCTTGGGGTAAATTGAGGTCATTTGACTGTCAAAGTATTCAAAATACCTTTAATAATACCGCTTTAGATTCATTGAACTGCCCTTGAACTTACAACGATGCGTGGCGACAACAAAGGCATCCATTCCCGTTCAGCTTTCACGCGCATTTTCATCAGTTTTCGCACTTTTCGTACACAAACAAGCTGGCACTTAGTTAACCCAATTTCCAGGCGACACGCAACAAAATGCGATGAATGGGCGTAGTAAACAGAGTCGTTCAAATTGACGAAATACAGTGGGCTACTTAAAGATAATATTAATATTAATATAAGAAATTAAAACATATATAATTTGATAAGTTCAAGATCTAGAAAAGTATCAAATAAATAAATTGGGTTTCTTCAAGACCTAAAATGTTTCTTCATTTCGGATTGCAACCCACTGTTGTCTAGGCTCTGGAATTTGGTTAATGGCATAAGGAAAAAACTGAACCCGGACTTGCCTCCTTTTCCCCCAACTAAGATGAACTGCGTGACCCTTAATTCAGGTCCCTCCTTGCCAACACTTAGTCAACTGATTTGCAGTCTTTATTTTGATATTTTCCTTGACCTGAATTGCTGGAAAGCTATTGCCTTTTTAGCTTTCATAGTAGGACTGAACAATTAACAATCGCCAGCTTAAATTGGTCTTAATTATGCAAAGCAGAAGCAGTTACTCTGGTATCCTCGGTCTATTCAGGCACTCACCTCAAATGATGAAAACGTTAAAACGTACTTTAATTAAGGCGCACATCATCAGGGCTAATAGCGAGCGAAGCGTAATGCATGCAGCTAATAAATTGAAGTGCAGCTTTCCCTTCGACTGGCGGAGGAACAGCTCTAGGCTGAAACAGCTGGGTCTTGTTGATAAACTGGCGTGGAAAGGCGTCGCAGCCGAGTGCTAAAGGCACCTTTAGTCGTTTTACGAAGCGTCTCGTCCTTTATGTTATTATTTTTGTTACCCTTCACGGCAATGAGTATATACAGCTGAAGGATGAGGATAAAGAAACACAATCAATAACAACAAGATTGGCTTAGAACTTGTAAAATAATTGTTCAGATTAAACCTGCCATTTAGATATAATGTGTTTAACATATTCCTGCAAAATAGTAATAAATAAAAAAGGGAAATCATTTATTAAATGATCTTAAAAAAAAAATCGTAGCAATTAAACCATGAACAATTTTAAAAATATAGCCACTTATTCATGTGGAATTTAATTTATTTATTTTTATATATCAAGCTTAAGCTTGAAATTTTATTATTTAAAAATGCAAATGATCGAGATTATTTTAAGCTCTTTAGTATTCGAGTAACTAGGTATCAGCATAGTCAACAACTTGTCTACAACTTGTAGTTTGGATTATATATAATTTTGTTGATGCCATCGTTGCACGCGATTTGCGATGTCGACGGCATAAAAATTATGTGCAAAAATGGCAGTAGGCATTGTGGAGTGTTCGCTGGAGCAGCTCCTGCTGAAGTGCTAGTGCTGGTGCTGGTGCTGGTGCTGCTGACCCCAAAAAGCAGGCGGAGAACGGAGCCAGAACAAATTGTGGCCCTAGCCACATATAAAAATGTATACAAGCTTCTTGCTGGTGGTTAGTGTCGCCGAACGAAACACACAACGCGAATTAGAAAAAAGGAAAGGAAAAGAAAAGAAAGCGCCTCGATAAGGAATCTATGAAAATATATACACATACCCCCCAATGAACCACTCACCACTCACCAATCACATTTCTTTTCTCTCTCGCACGCAGGATGATATGGAGCAATGGGTTACGGACACATTTTATTCGTACTTTCCCGGCTTTAACAATGAAAATCAGAAGCGGCAGAATTATTTGCGTGAGCGACAGCGCGAGAACCAGCAGAACTTTCTCAAGCACCAGGTGAGCGTTTCAATATTACCATGCGAAAATATTTTGATTATGTGCCAACATTCGTAATGCCAAGCAGTGTTAGATTTATGAACTTATAATAATAAATGTTTTTATTTTGTTTCCCTACCCTGCAGATGCTTCATCCGCCGGTCACCAAGCATTCGCGACCGGGACAAGTGAGGAAGACATCCCAACCAGGTGCGGTTCCGGCACAAAACCGCTCCAGCCAATCCAGCACAAGCACCTCCAATCACAGCACAACGGATAAGACTGACTTAGAGTTAATTGTAAATAGTAATCCCAACTATGTGCCGCCCAAAATTCGGCCCGGAACGACACGTCAAAAGCTCCTCCACGATCTGGGACATGTGGAGCTGTCGAACATTGTGACTGGGGATGGCATCATGGAGCGGAATCTGCGGAGTGCCGAGCTGGAAACGGCTCGCAAAAAGGATTACCAGCGGGATTTAATGCAGCAAATTGATGAGAAGCGTCGGTCCATAGAGTTGCTAAGGGAAAAGGAGCGTCGCCAGGAGGCAGCTTTGACCAGGTAATCCATTGGATGAATACATGCCTTTCACTATATAAATAACAATTTGATATTTGCCAACAGACGGCTTGAGGCACAATTAAAGACAATACAGTTGGAGGAGCAGTTGGAAAAGGAGCGCCTACGAGCTGAAAGGGTAAGAATTAATGGCAATACTTATTGGATAATATTGCTGATTTTATTTGAAGTCATTTTGATGATTCTTTTTGAAAAAAACAACAAAAACTTAGAATATCAAATAAGATATTTGAACAAAGAAATCTACGAAAATTGTTAGGTAACCCAAATGTAGGTTTGAAGTGGCTATAAAACCTACTTTTAGCTTACTTTATTAAATTATTCAATCGGAAAAATATTAATTTAAGCTTTGATTTCTTAGAAATTTTAAGATTTTTGAAAACTAAAATATTTATTTTTAAAGCCATAATAACTGGTTTTGTAGACTTTCTATCACTCTACTCAACCACACAATTTATTTATAAACAAGAGGGTAAAAGAACCTTGACTTTATTTATATAACGAGATTGTAATTCCAATAAGATTGTAATACCGAATATTCGATTAGACGTAATTGCCCATTGATTGGTATTACCATTAGATTCACAATCTTTGGCCCCAAAATAAATGGCTGGACATAGAAAATGAAGTGTAATTGATAGGATTATTAGGACCTACAATCTAATGATAGTTAATTGCTATCGCGCATAGGTTAAGTAATTGAATTAACGTAAACCTTTGCTAACTTTTGTTCACTGTGCTGACAGGCTCGCATCGACTCGGAACAGAACCGCTTGATGCGTGAACAGTTGTTGGCCAAGCTGGAACAGGATGCCCAGTTGCTGCACGCCAAGGGGACCAACAATCTAGCCGAAACGCCCAGGACAACGCGCACCAAAGGCAAGAGCAACAACGCCAGCAATATCAGCACAGAAGGCAACGCCAACAGGGTGTACAAATACTTCAGTAACTCGGCGCATCACGAGTACAGACGTGGTCAGCCTCTGCCGCCGGCCGTTGAGCTGGACTTTGAGGTGCCCCAAATGGCCAAGATCGAACGCGAGTGCTTCCACCTGTGCGACAAGATTTGTCCGCTGTGCGATGAGCCGCTCAAGAGCTACGAGAGTTGCTGTCTGCGTTGCCAGCGGAAATTGGCTTTAAAAATGAAACAAAAGGAGCCCAATAGGAATGGAGAAACTGGAGAGAAACCAAGCGATGACTCAGAGGAGGGCAAGGACGAGGAGGAGCAAGAGGAGCGGGAGGATGATCAACGGGACGAGTCCAGCCACAACTGCCAGAGCAGCTACGCCCTGGTGTGCCACAAATGCGAGCGCCTGTACGCCATGTGCAGCCAGTGCCTGGCCAAGAGCGACGTGTGCCGGGCATGCCAGCGGGAGCGGAATGTCTGCATGAACTGTCGCCGCAATTTGTGCTCCTTTTGCCTGGAGGAGGTGGCCTGCGGCAGGGACACGGAACGCACGCATGTCAATGACACGGAAACCAACAGGGAACCGCCCTTAAACAATTCCTTTCAAGTTCTCGAACTAAACTATGCTGTGTCGCCGGCAAAGGATGCAAAGGCCAGCAATGTAGCCGATGTATCGCCACCTTACTCCGTCAACATAGCGCGTAATTCGGTGTTCCATGCCGACTACAAGGCCACGCCTGTAAAGCCTTCCATCCTGGAGCAGCTGCCGACAACCTCGGGCAGTGCCAACACCAGTTTCGATCTGGACAGCGCCGACGAGCAGGCTGTGGAGCGGATGCGACGCCAAACGGATCAGCGGCTGTCGCGCTACCTCAAGAACTACGGCGATCTGGCCACCAAGCAGCACCAGAAATTGCAGCAGACGGAGTTGCAGCGCAGCAAGAGCGAGTCGCGCAATCGAGGCACTCAGACGACACCGCAATCGCTGGCTAGACGGGATGTGGTTCTCAGGGAGGCGGCTGGCCACAATCTATCGATGCCGCTGCTGCGCGAGATGCCCAAAATGACGCGACAGGAGACTGGAGCAGCCCTGGCTGAAAACGGACAGCGAAAGATGGACAACCTTAAAAAGCGTTGGGAGGTAGGTTCAAATATTTAAAAAAAAAGTTTCATAAATCTTTAAATATTCTATTTTACAGGTTCCCGCCGTGCAAAAGTTCACCGTTTCAACAACATCGCCTAAAATCCTTACCCAAGTGGGTGCCATAAGAAAACAGCTTCAGGCAGCGCGATTCTTTGATGATGTAGTTGATCCGGAAGATTACTGAGGGCAAGTCAACCATTCGTTTGTTTTTGAAAGCAAAATGATTGTGTTGACACCCCCCCTTTTTATCCGAGCAAAACGAATTTAATTCTGTTTGAAGTCTTCACATTTTAAAACATTTGCCATTATTATTTCACTTTAACTTCATTTTGTAAACAACTCATGTAGTTATAGCTTTATAGTAAGCTGATTCCAAGTGCTTCGGCTGTTTCACTCAGCAACTTTAATACGTAAGCCATAAAGTTTGTTAACGTTTATTGTTCTTTTTTTTTACGGAAATTTATTAACTACGAATGTGTTAATTAAAAGGATACAATTAAAGACAAACTTACCTAAACTTTCCAAAGTGTCTTTCCAAATTAAGCAGAATAAATTTAAACTATTTGTACTTCTCAATTATTTATAAAATCTGCTAAGATTTCAACTTTGTTTGCTAACCTCTAATGCTTTTTAATGTCTTATATATCACCCCAGATAAGCCAAAAAAGTCAAACAACTCAAGTATTATGGTTTAACATAAATATTTTTTTATTTTCTTTAGTTTTGCTGTTGTTCCATGTGAGTCAGTGGCATCAATTGATCAGTTTACCACCGCAGGGGCTGCTGGGCGTAGACGGGGGCGTACTGCGAGTAGGCACCGGCGGATCCGTAGCTGGGGGCTGGAGCGCTGCATGGCACTGGGGCCAGGTTGGGCTGGCAGCTGAACAGGTAGTTCTTGGGGCAGGGCGGGGCCGGGATCGAGGACGGGGCGTAGGACGGAGCGGCAGGAGCGGCGGCATAGGATGGAGCAGCTGGAGCGGCATAGGACTGAGCGGGAGCTGCGGCCGGAGCGCTGTAGCCACCTCCGTAGGATGAGCCTATCATCTGGTCCTCCTTATCGGCAGCAACGAAAGCGGCCAGCAGGCAGATGGTGGAGATGATAGCGATGCACTTCATGTTGGTTGATTGGTGATTTGTAGACTGGTTGGTAGCAGACTGCGATGCTTCTGCCTTCGCCACTTGGGCTTTATATACTCTGGGCTGTGCTACCAAAACTGCTGAATCGAGCACTGACCAACAACTATTCTGTTTTAAACAGCAAAAATAAATGTGTGGGCTACCTTTTAATATCAGCAAAGCGATTTAAAATCTTTTTGATGTGTTCACATTTTAATTCATTTTTTTTCTCGTACTTTTCTTTGTAAAATATTCATGTAGTTATAGCTTTGTAGTAAGTCGGTTTTAGCTGTTTCTATTTATTATTTATTTATTTAGCAGCTTTAATACCTTCAATTTATTTTTGTTTTACGAGAGGCTTTAGGGACTATAAATTGATACGGGATTAGGCATTAAGACAAACTGATCTAAACGATCTGGAATATCATTATATTTTGATAAAATATAGAAAAAAATTGGAACGACATTGATTTGGTTGTATGAATTAAATCTGTTTTCATATAGATTCTTAAGTAGATTGTATCGGTCTTTAAAAAAATTTGAAGCTTGCAACTTATTTTATATAATTCTTGAACAATATTTTAGGTACAAAATATAGCTTTGAAATCTGAGTCTTAAGCCAAATTAAGACAATAATTGAATTTGAAAGCTTTTCAATGACTAAACTAAAATATTTTACTATAATACAAAATTTATTTTCATTGTAAAGCTTGTAATACAGTGCTCCCTCGAAACAGTAAACTTAAAAAAACCAAGGGGTGTTCAATGTGTCAGGTATGCGACATAAAACAATTGGTTATGCAATTCATTATTCAGGCAATGTTCTCAAACGATAAGATGGGTAAACGGGTAGCTCATATCGAGTGAAAATTAAATTGTTTTTATCACCCATTTATAACTGCACATTAAAATTCCTGTTAAAAAAAGGAAGTATTAACTCATAATAATAAACAAAATGAATTTAAGATTTCGTATTCAATAATAAAATATTTAAATTAATGGGTCCTATTTGTTATTTTATATTTACATTTATTTTGTTTTAAGCTTAAACGATTATTTATTATAAATTTTATAATAACTTTTTAAACTTTTGACTCTTCAGAGTTTACAAAGTACAACCGTTTTTTCACCCTAAGAATCGTTCACGAGTGACCATGTAAATATACATATATTCCCAGATTTCCCCAAAAAATTGAAAGAAGTCAAGTGTTATGCTTTAACATAAATGTATATTTTTTTTGTATTTTTTTTTTTTTAGCAATTGTCAATGTTCCACGGTTGTCAGGGGCATCTACTGATTACCACTGGAGGGGGGCCTGGGCGTAGACCGGGGCGTACTGCGAGTAGGCACCGGCGGATCCGTAGCTGGGAGCTGGAGCGCTGCATGGCACTGGGGCCAGGTTGGGCTGGCAGCTGAACAGGTAGTTCTTGGGGCAGGGAGGGGCCGGGATCGAGGCCGGAGCGTAGGACGGAGCAGCTGGAGCGGCGGCGTAGGCCTGAGGAGCTGGAGCGGCATAGGACTGAGGAGCTGGAGCGGCATAGGACGGGGCGGGGGCAGCGGCCGGCTTGCCATAGCCGCCTCCGTAGGATGAGCCCACCATCTTGTCCTCCTTGTCGGCGGAAACGAAAGCAGCCAGCAGGCAGACGGTGGAAATGATGGCGATGCACTTCATGTTGATGGGCTGGGGATTTCTTAGACTGGTTGGTAGCAGACTGCGATGCTTCTGCCATCACCACTTGGCCTTTATATACTCGGAGCTCGGTGCAACCAAAACTGCAGAGGTAAGCACTGACCAAGTTTTCATTTTGCCCAACGACCCCTCGAAGCAATCGTGTGTGGGTTTATTTCTGCATGGCCAACAGAAAGCGAAAAGAACAAACATTTCCTCTACTTTTTTAGGCCACTGAACTTGTCGAGTTAACAAATTGTCGTATGCCAAATTCATAAATTATGGTAATAACGGAACCAAACTATGACGGAAATGTTAAAAGAACAAAAAAAAGAAAGAACATAAAAAATTGCTAGTGTTTTAAATAAGTATTAGCATGATTTCATAAACTAAAAAAAAATTAAAAGTTTCTTAACATACCCATGGAAAACTAGTCCATAGTTGAGAAGTAAAAGAAAGTACTCAACAGACTGTTTTTAAGTATTTGTATATTGTACGATTTTTTTTACAAAAATATTGGTTAATATAGGTGCTATGTAGTGTCTTTGCTGCTGACATTCAAAAACTATATAAGATACAAAAATATTTAAAAAAGTGTAAGTGTATATCTAAGAGCAAAATCGATTTTAAAAAAATTTCATACTGGCCCTTTCAGTTATGTTAATTAATCAACTTTTGTTTTCCACAGGAAATGTTTAACTTTTCTCAGAAAATTGTATTCGCGTGCCCCAATATGCATTGGATAGCACAAAACCTTCGTTTACATGCATAGCAAAAATCGATTTCAGTCAACATTTTTTACAAGTTCTTAAAATGGGTTTATTGGGTGAGCTAAGTTTGCATTACCAAACTTTAATTTTTTAAAATATAAATACAATTTTGGTGGGTTAAGCTTTAATCCAATTCTTATCTAAAATGTTGAGAAAAAAAGTTTTTTGACAATTTATAGTTTAATAGGATTGTGTTTTTTTCTATTTTTTATTTGTACATATATATATTTTTGGACCAATACAATATACCCGTTGTTCCATTATAAACAAGCTATTATAAAATAGGCAATCTAGCAGCTGGGAAATGAATTTGCTATCATTTATTTAAAAAACCGATCGAAATTAGAACTGTAATATAGAAAGCCAAAGAAGTTGAGTTTAAGTTAAGATTGTTAAAATGAATTTCGCTTCGCAATTATGGCAGAGAATGTGGCATCATCAGTTAAAAAACCGGGGCTTACATGTTCCACCAGTCGAAAAAAGCAGATTGAATGACGGATTAAAAGAAAAACTTGATCAATCAGAAGAACTTATAAAACGGGCGATGACTCTGTATAAACCCAATGAGTTGATGCTGTGTTTTAATGGTGGTAAGGATTGCACAGTGTTGCTAGATATTTTAGCCAAAATTAAGCCTCCATCGATGCCATTGCGAGCGGTTTACGTTAAAACCGCGGATCCATTCGAGGAGTTGGATAATTTTGTCGATAGCTGTGCACAGCGTTACGGATTGCAGTTGCGACGACATGAGGGAGAACTGAAACTGGCCTTCGAGCAGTTGTTGGCCGAAGATACTCAGTTAAAGGCCATGTTCCTCGGCTGTCGGCGCAGCGATCCCGGTGGCTCAAAGCTTTCCGAGATGATGCCCAGCGATAACGGCTGGCCGGCGATGATGCGGATTTTCCCGCTACTCGAGTGGAGCTACCACGACATCTGGTGCTATCTGCGGACCAATGATCTGCCCTACTGCTGTCTCTATGATCAGGGCTACACATCGCTGGGGGATCGCAGTTCAACACGCCTGAATCCCAGTCTGCTGGTCTACGACGAGAAGCTGGGCAAGATGACCTACAGGGCGGCCTACGAGTTGAAGGACACCCGCCTGGAGCGGGCCAACAGGGATGAGCACGGCCAGGTGACCCTGGTGACCGAGTCCAAGCAGTAATCATTAGCCCCAGTTCAGGTCAAGCTCAAAGTTTTTCTTGTTCTGCTCTTGACTTGTTCGTTTCTTTTTGTTTTTGTTTTGCCCAACACAATGTTAGCCAAAGTGGAGCAGCAAGTGTCAGCTAACTGGGCCGACAATTCTGTTCAAGACCCCAATTCAGTTGCCACATTTCACTTATCAGACAATTTCAAATACTTTAACAACCCGGCCTAGCCCCTTATAAAAGTTTGACTTGTGTGTATAAGAGAAGAAATGGTGAAAGTTGCAGAAAAGAGGTGATTTTGGTGAAAGCTAAGACTAAAGCTCAGGAACTATGTTTAAATGCTAAATGAAATGTTAATAGAAAAATTAATTATACACATATTTTATTTTAAAACCAAGTAAATTATTATAAATTTTGTTAAATTTGAATAATTTTATTTTTGATACATTTTATTTATAAATTATTTATGTTAAAAGTTTGGCAATATTTATAACGAATAATAAATAGTCGAAAGTAGGCTGTTATTTTAGATAAATAAATCAATTCAAATGTTTAATTTAAATTCTTATCGTATTATTAACCATTACCAGAAATGATTAGGTTTTGTAACACTATTTTTTGTGGTTATTGAAGCCCCTTGATAAAGTAAACCAAGTTATCCGGCGACTGTGTTTTACTTGGTGATGCTGATGCAGTAGTGCTGGTTGGTTCTTCTCCCACAAGGAGCAGACGATGATTGTTATTTCGGCATCCCTGCTTCCTTGGCACCTTACCCTCTTTTACAATTTCATTACTACTAGGAGACTCTTGCGATCTTTGTGCCTGTGGCGTGTATTCCAAGAGGTCCCGATAAACTTTCCACAGACTTTGATCCTCAGAGCGGTCCAGCCAGTTGAGTAGATCTTGGATGGTCTTATCATGGCGATGGGCCACCTTTGCATCGAAGGGCGGATGTTTTCGAGTGGCAAACTGTGCCCGATAGCCCGTTTTGTTGGCTTTCGGTGTAAGACTCACACGAAACCATTGCTGATCCTTCGGATCCTCGCCAATCAGGGTGTACTCAAACTCTGGAGCAGCCGAGGATGTGTCCGTTTTCAATACCAGGTTATCAGAGGCAGTCACTGAACTTATATTGACCTCCGGTGGTGGTCCATCTCTAATAAGTGATACAATTTATATATTTTATATATTTCAATTAGTGAAATATTCAAATAATTACCCCAACTGAGAGTATCTGACCAACTCTGTAGGTAGAGTTAATCCACCGCAGGCCATCATACAAAAGATTATTATTCCCATATACGGTTTGTTCCACATTTCGCCCATTTTTGCTGAGTGCGAAGAAGTTTTCAACTTCAGTGGGTTTTATAGTGCACCCATAGTTTTTGCATTTGCTTTGTCACTTTTCCCGGTTGCTCTGGCTTCGTGTTCGGCGTAGAAAACGTCATGTAAATGTAGCTTAAATGATTTCGATTTGACAAACGGAACTTCTCAGATAGCTAATGCTCGCGATATACTGTCACGTATCTGGCTTGAGTTACAGCTTTTCAAGAGGCTTACAGTCAGTAAACCAAATTCCCATATTCTATTTCTTTTCGTTTTCAAGATTTAAATAAAAGTTAGTTTTTAGTAATTTAGAAACACATTTTAATTTACAAATATACCTTTAATCCATTTTATATTTATATCGATTTTCTGACTATAAAATTCATCCCAATAAATGTAATATTTTTAAAGCTTAAAACCTTTTTATAAACTATTTGTTTTGTTATATTTTAATTTGTTAAGTAAATACTTAATAGGATTAATAAATTTTGAAAATTTATGCATATTAATTCATAGTCGAAGAAGCTTTGGTTACTCTGTCTTTAATATTAATTAATAAACGAAATGACTTTCCGTTTTAGTTTGTGCCTAATATAAGTATTTGCATTTTGAATTTGTTTTGGGAAATTCCACTTGGCCCAGACACTTCCGGTGCTCTCTTTCCGTTTCCGCTTCGCTCTCGCAATAGCTGTGGCGGCATTGCCAACACAGAGGAATGTTATTATCAGTGAAATTTGCGACCTTTCCAATGTGGGTAAACTCTGAAGGATGTTAATCAACAAGGCTACTTTCACTTTAACATGTGTGTGCCGCCCAGCCACCCACCACGCCCCCCTCATGCGGTGAGCGTGCGCCGGAGAGGCAACTTTCTCTCGCTTTGTCTCTCTTTATCTCTCTCTCTCGTTCAACAGCAGCTGAGACTGCACAGCTGTTTGGCATTTTGCGCGCGCACTTTCCTAAAACAAAACGAAACGCATATCACACATACGCGCCGTGGTACGGCGAGGGCAACTCTCGCTGGGTTCGACAGGACTCGGAACCGTTTCGCACACTCAGTAGACAATCTTTCCCCATTTCGTTAACACACTCACAGCACCTTCAAGCGTTCCAATAATATACAGAAGAATTTCCCCCAAAGCAACAAACAGCAACAGTAGCTAAATTAAATATCTAAAGATAAAACGAATAGATATCTGTAAATACATATATCATTCCCGAAACCAACAAATAAACGCCATTTTAAAGAGCTTGAATAGAAATACGTGTGTTGTTCGCCGACTAATATAAATCTGTTAAACATATATAATCAAACCACATTTAATAAAATTGAATGTCAACGTGCGTGTCCAGTGCAAAAAGCTAAATCCCCCGACTTGTTGTTGTGGCTGTCCTCGCCTGTAACTTTAAACGAAAGTATGTAAAAAAATGTATCTCTTATCAGGCTGTTTCGTTTATGCGTGCCACTTTAATGGCAAACAGCCAGCAATGGCCTGATAAAACAGTGCCAACTCGCTTGCCTTTAACCATTTTATCCATTTTACTTTCTGTATCCTGTTTTATTTGAGCTATTCCCTGAACAAGTTTGCCATTTATCAGTTAAGAAACGTAGGCTATGGGTTGTAGTATATGTGCAGAGTAATTGCTGAGCTCGGTGTCTGATAACAATCAGTTATTCCCATTGAAAGCCAATCGTTATTATAATTGATGGGTTGCGAACATCAACTGATGTCAGTGAGGGAAAATTGTGAAAATTGACAAGACCTTGAATTGTCTAAATGGTGGTAGCAATTTCTATTTGTTCTAGATATTTATTTTTTATTTTAGTTACACAAAATAAAGTGTTTGGTAATTTTATTTGTTTGGCTTTAGTTGGTGTTGGTATAAATATTTCTATTCCCTTGAACTTTCCACAGTCTTTAGAAGTCGTTCTCTAGTTTAAGCCCAAAGTTTAAACAATTTCTATGAAGTTTCTACATCGTTCAGCATTATCTATTATTTTTAATTTAATTAAATGTCTTTGGCTCATGTTCGTTGGTTGGTTTGTTCGTTGCCTGCGTGTTCAAGTGGCGTGTAAAGTAATTTACCAAACCACAAACTTTTCGTGGCCGCTTAATTTTTAGCGCAAAACAAATAAGCAATCGCCAAAGGCAGAAAGCAGAAACGAAAAACTGCGGACCGAAAGTCCTTCAGAATGAGCTGAGCGGAGTAGAGTTTCAGTCAGGTTAGTTAAGCGAAAGAAAAAGTTTCAGCGTGCCCATTACTTTCACTTTTTCAGCTTTTTCCGTGTTCGCCACTGCAATATTTCAGCCGTTGTCTAAGCCAACTTGGGGCTTCACCTTAGGTGTGTCTGCAGCATATACCCATATATATATATATATATTTATATATATATATATATATATGTTTATGTATATGTGCTGGTTCAAATGGTAGTGCGCGCACTCGTCCTTCTATAATTTTGTCGTTAGATTTTACTCTTCAAGCGTTTTATGAACCTTGTATTTGAATTACAAATAAAAAGGGAAACCTTCATAGCTTTAAACCCTATTTCCAGTTATATTAAATGATGTTCCTTGGCGAACGATAACAAAAATGAATTGTTTATTTAGTTTTCAATTTTAACTTCAGTTAGATATTATTGACATTCGAATAGGACATTTATAGAAAAAAGAAATGTTATAAATTTAGTGATAAATAAGGTTTTAGGTAGCTTTTTCTGTTTTATAAAAAATCAAAAATTTTGGTTATTTCCTAAAATTTTTCATTTTTGTGTGTTGCCTTGGTTGTATAGTTTACTTCAACTCTACAAGATTCTGTTAAAACTTTAAACATAAATTTTTGATATATTAAATTATAAAATATAATATTGGTTAAAAGATATATAAATGGTGCTATATTTATTTTATGAAACACAAGTACGTTGATATTGGGTAAAATATATCAAATCGAATACTTTTTTTTATTACTTTCTTCTACAGTTTTTCTGGCGGCCATTTTGCGAGTGTGGGTGGTAGCGCAAAGGTTGCTTTTTGGGAGGTGAGCTGTGGCAACAATAAAAAAGTCGACCCACTCCGTTTGGAGTCGTAAATTGTTGATGTTGTTGTTGCCATTATGTTGGTAGTTTCTGCAGTCGGTTACTGTTGTTCCTTTGGTTGTCCATGCACCCTGACTTGTAATGAATATAAAACTGCCTTTTAACTGCCTTGGCAGAAATCCTTCTACTCAGTTGCCTGTCAGCTTTTTTATGCATGTACAAGAGTATTGTGAATTCCTTATCCTGAATTGTTTTACGACCTCTCAACCTAGAGGCTTTAACCCAAGCGAATAGTCATTCTGCAACGAGAAACTTGTTGAGGCAGAAAAAAAACAAAGATTTTGGCACGCTATAAACTAGTGTATAATTTTTGGAAATCTGTTTTTCTTTCTCTGCTTTGAATAGAAAAGATTTCGACATTTCACTTTTGCCATTTTTTGCTCCAATTCCTGTTTGGCAAGTCGCGTCGTTTTCTTTCGCCAAAGCAACCAGTGTTTTGTGTGAGATAAGCAGCTTGACCGTGGGCACTGTGAGTTGGGTGAGGAGTGTGGGTGGGGAGAATGGGCGGAAGCTGGATGAGCAGGACTTCCATGGCTACCCATCCAAGGCCCAAGGACAGGCGAAAGCCAAAGCCATGGATATCCAGGCGACGGCACGTACGGCTGCAAAGCGTGCACAGCGAGATGATAATTTCACTGAATACCCAAGTCAGCCTCGAATTTATTCCATGGAACACCCAGTACGTGGAGATGGAGAAGGAGAAGGGGGTTGGGGACTAAGGGAGTGCTAAGTGTTGAGCTGATATGCAATGCAGCTATGTGTACTGCAATGGCCAAAACCAAACCCCATTCTGTTTAGGTATATCGATAGATATGCTGATGAGAGGAAAGCCATTTAAGGGAATTCAAGGAGGGACGCACAAAATCATTTTGTAAGCAATGCAAAAATTTAATAATAAAAATTATCATACGACTATATGTTTAAACAACCAAAAAGAAAAGTATAATTTTAGAGCTTCTAGCTTTTAGTAAATGAGTAAATCATTTATATTTTTTCAATGACAAGAGATAAGCTCATATTTATCAAGACCGCCTTTGATGGTCACCCCCAATTCCATCCGTCATTTGGGCTACATTATAGACCCATTGACAGACACTAAGCTGAAAGCAGCAAATTAGTCAACTTGATGGGCCGTATTTCTTATGTAGATATATTCCTTGCTGTATGCCAAACAAGACAATAACTTCTGGCTTTAATGAGAGTGGCCAATGCCAAAGCCAAAGGCCAACGTGAATTTGTTTCAAAGTCGTTTGGTGGGCGTGTGAGTGGCGCAAGGATGTGGCTAAGAACTGTCCACATATGGTTGGTTGTGTGTGCGTCTTTTTGGCCAGGCCAACGCCTGAAAGTCTCGGCGTGAAGTGAAATCTTTTAAAAAGCCTTGAAGTTGTCCGCTGCCAAGTTTTCGACAAACCAGCTCAGAAAGTTCAAGTTAAGTGCAGCGAGTAATAGCAACAGCATACCAGCAGCAGCAGCAGCAGCTCAAAAACATGGCCAAAGACGACAACGACTTTGGAGCCATACTCCCAAACTGTTGTTGTTATAAACAAGCCAGAAACTGCCCAAGTTGGCAACTCTCCGGACGCTCAATGCGCGCGCATAATTTGAATCCGGAGAGCCAAGTAGTTAGATGTCCAGAGAGACGAGAGAGTTTTCTTCCCACAGGACCCGAGGACGCAGCTGCTTGGCGTTTGGTGGCCACCCATGTCCTTTAGTATACAAAACGGCAGCGAGCGAAGCGTTAGCCACACGGCTAAAATATTGAAATTCCAACAAGCGGTGCCAGCAGCAGCAACAATATCAGCGCCAAAAGTTCGCGACAAATGAAGTGAAAAGTGAAAGTTGCAAACTTGTGCAAAATTATTTCCCAGTTCTTGTCCAGGTGGGCCTGTCGTTTCACGGGCGCACGTGGCGTATGTGCGATATTTCCCAATGAGATTGAATTAAACGCGTTTCAGCCCGAAGCACTCCCTAGAGCATCCTCAACCCTGGTCATAACAAGCGTTTTATGCCTCGCCTTACTGTTGCAAAGCTTTAAAAACGGGTGCGTGTTTAAGTTTACTGCTCGAAAAACAAGGAATTTCAGGTCCAAGAATAGTATAGCTTAAACTTTGCTGAAAAATTTAGTTTTAACCGAAAATCTATTTCACTTTCTTGCTTAAAGCATTAATTGCCTTTAGGTAACTGTAAAAATCTTTTGCGCATTTTGTTTTCCATACATAAATATAATAACGTGGAGGGAAATTAATTAAATGTTAACTCAAAGCGCAATTCAATGTTTGGATAGGAAACAATTGTAGCAACATTTTATTGCTAAGAATTTCTTTTTAAAAAGTTTAGCTACAAAGCTTATATACTTGTGTAATTTTGGAGGAAGATGCTGGAAGACTAAAATGGAAAAAATGTAACACCTTAAATAAACTAATTCTGATTAATTTAGTCATTTTTATTCGCAAGCTCGATAGGTGATTTAATTTATAACTATATTAGTTGGTTTTTGGTTACCTTTATCAGATAGATAATTCCAATGAACATATAAATAAGTTTTTCAGGAAAAATCAAAATTATTTATTATTATTTTGATCACTTCTTTTAACTAATATTATTCGTTATTTGAAAATTTTATTATTTCTTTCCAAATTATCTAGATAATAAACAATGGCAATGAACATATTGACCGCGCCGAAATTGAGCTAAATTGTGTGTCCAAAGAAGGAGCTTTGCTTCTGCTAACCATAGTCAATGGGTTTCTTCTTGTTGTTTTTTGCTCAACGAGCAATCATTGTATTTATTTCAGTTTGAGTTGGTGCTTCCGTTTTATGTTTATTAACCTCTTGGATTTTGGCCTGCAAATGTGTGATCAACTAACTTTAACTGAAGTTCTTCTTTGGTTTTTCATATATTTTATGGAAATTGCTACAGGCAAAGTTTGGCAGCCATGAAAACCCCTGACTTTGATAACAAACTGCGCGTATAAACTGCAAAGGGAAATGAGCACACAAGGAAAGGCCATTGTGAAACTGTGAAAGTGTAATCAAATAAATTCTATCGCTGGATAATCCGAATAGAAGAATAAAGGTCAGCCGTAGAAGATGTGCATAAAAACCTGCGACGACATCAAATTCGGTGACAATAGCGACGGAGGCCATGAAGGTGGAAAGAATAACGTCATCCGCATATCCAATTCGGGCTACGAGCACTTTCAACTTCATCTGCAGCTGCAGGCTAAGCTAAACAAACAAAAGCATAAAGGCTACAAATTGCCCAACTTTAAGATTCTTATGTGCTGTTGCTACTTCATTATCATTGTCTTGATGATATGAAAACGACAAGCAAAAACTACCAAACCTATGAAACTACAAATTCAACCAAAAATACTTCAATTATATAGATAAATGCAAACATACTGAAACCGCAAAACGTACCAGAAATTAAAGTTCAACCAAAACTCATAAACAAGGTAAAAATTGATTGTTGCCTACTTTCGGGTGGGGCTAGTTCTTAATAGTTTGAATAAAATAAATAAATATTTAATTTTGAATGTATATCATTTTTTTTATATTTTTTTTATTCATTTACAAACGTATTTTTTTAGATACAAACATTTCGTACTCCTAGTTAAATATCCTGTCAGTTTAAGTTGAATTAAATTATAGGCATTTAAAAAAATAAAAATGGTTGTATATCAAATTTTATTATTATTACTTTTTCCATTTTAATTTATTATTTATTTGTATTTACTTTGTGTGGCACAATGGTGTCTAGTGAGGCATGAGTATTGTTTAAGAACACTTGTTATTAGTTTGAAACTATGTAGAATCTTTTGCTTAAATGATTAACTTATATTGATTTTTTAGATCTCATTTAGTATCAATAAGCTTTCATTTATAAGCCGCATGTATCCATCCCAGTAAGCAAGGTCATCTAAAAATAGTTACGGGTCATAAACTGGTCGACTAGTATGTTTGGTCTTTAATGACCATCTTTTCCACTTATCGAATTATATCAATTGGTGTTTTATGGCTCTTTTTGGTTTATTGAAATTAGCGCTAAATTGATTTATACCACAATATGTTACTGCCGTCAATACAGGAATTACGCATACGTTTTGCTTTTTGTTCGTGCCCAGGCTTTGTTTGTTTGGCTTGTCCCCGCTGATTACTCATACGACGCGTGGCACATTTCATGAAAATTGATTTTACACTGCGACAAAGCACACACATTTCCGCCCTGCGTGTGTGAGTTTGAGTATGTGGTGTTTGTTTTTGTGTTTATTCTGATTTTCAATTCACATTGCTGACCTACATTTTCACTTTGCGTGGGTGAGGCCCTGGCTTTTTTATTGTTTTTGGGCCACAGGTTTCTGGAAAAAATAGAGAATTACTGCCAGTGGCCATAATTTATTCGTTTATGGCCAAGAAATTAATTAATCCAGAAGCCAAAAATTTGTAAATATTTCCAATGAATAATTTAAGGCGTTCTTAAAGTTTGACGAGAGTCTAAACGGTTTGCAAATAATTCATCACGTTTGGCCTTGCAGAAAATGTAGTTTGAAAGTTTGGCAGATCAAATATTTCACAATATACACATGGGAAAATCTTGAAATAAACTAAAAAAAAATACTGCCATCATAAAATATAAAACTAATCTTACCAAAGAAATTGGAACACTGTTTGTCGTTGTAGTAAACTTGCATTAAAAGAAATTTACTATTGCTATTTTAGATAAAGGAATTGGAAACAAGAAAAACAAAGATAAGTTTTGCCATTTATACAAGATCCAATTTAATATAAGCTAATATATTCGTACACTTTAAAGTGTTATTCTACCTTAAATTATTTTCTTTCATTTTTGTACTTTTGTCTGTTCGCAAGCAAAATATTTACAGCAGGACCACCTCGTAAAAGGGAGGCATTCGTTATTTTGCTGATATTGTCAGCATTGAATTTATTTTTATATTATCGGATTTTATGGCAACCGTAAACTGCAGTTTGTTTGTTTCCTTTGGCTTAAAATTTTACGCGAGTGTTAAATTCTCGTAGGAACATGCTTAATCCTTGTTTTTTCTTTTATATGTTAATGTCGCTACCCATGTGTCTTGAGCGAAATGTATTCTAAATTTGTCGAATATTCCTGAAACGTGCATTAAATGCCAAAGAATACGCTTTCAGCACCGTATTTGGCTAGATTTTGGCACAGCTGCTCCCACAAAAGGGACAAACAAGAATATAAGTATTAATAAAATGGGCTGACCCTTTTGTGACTATAATACCACAGACCCCATTAACACACAAAATAATATTTGCGAATAACATGTAGGGAAATTGTTTTTCTTTCGGTTAGATCTCAACATGTCTCACATTAAGGACCTTTCCATAACTACAAAACTTAATTTGATTTATTTTACTTGCTCTAAATCTAAGCTGAATTTATGTTTGAATTTTATATATTTTGTTAAGTTACTTCTTAAATTTGCTTTGCTTAATTTGCTTATTTATTTTTGTTTGTTTAACTCTTTTTACAGTGCCTTACTTGGTGGGTATATTGATTAGGTAAACGAAAATCCACCTAAAACAGCTTTTATTCTTCTGATAGATATCATAGCTTTTGTATTCCAGACCTAGATATATTTTTCATACATCAAACATTTTTCCACAAAATCCTCAGACTGACACACGTATGAACCGAAATACTTTTTTTGTTGTTTGCATGCGTAGCTAAACCCTTTATTATCCTTTATGTGTTGTTATACCAATTCTGTGAAAATGTTGTTGTAGCTTGTGTCTAGGTCTAGCCATTGTGCAATCAAATTGTTCAGTGGGCGTTGCTTTTGGGTTAGCGTCGCTTACGCATGCATTTACAACAAATTATATGCGGAGAATTGTTATTAATGCTTTTGGCAAGGTCACGGACTGACTTTTCGGGAAATTAGATAAAGGGTTTTGCGTGTGCTGGGCGTGTATGTGACTAAAATGTTAACGGGATTGCTTTAACACCCAAATCTAATATATATTTTTCTTTTTCTACTTTCAGTTCTCTTTCAATTGGTGTCTATATAATATTAACCATCTGTTATTTACATGCGTGTGTTACTACAAATCAAATGAATTAAATATATATGTATAGTTTAATAAAAAGTTAAATATTTTCAAATCTAGCTTAAAGAGAGAATATAAGCTGAAGTTTTTGTGTCTGTGCAAAGTGAAATTGTTTATCCATAATCATTGAAACGTATATGTTTAACTGCAAAGCATTCAATAATTCAAATAACCTATAGCAGCTATAATAATCACCATTATCGGGCTATGAAGTCAACGAATGGATCCAGCAAGTGGCATAATTTATGAAAACAATACAAACGTGAAGTGAGTACAACTGTTTTGCTTAACTATTTTTATTAAACTTACTTATATTTCCAATGTTTTGGATGGATTTTGTAACAGTGATTTGCAATGAGAATTTCAAAGAGAATTCCCCTCAAAATAAAGTATTTTTTGTTTCCACAAAGAAATTAAGTATACTAAATCAATGTAGATATACTAAAAACATACGAGTTTATGTTACTTGCTTATCTGAACTCGTTGAAACGCTCATTGCTAAATATTTAATTGAATAAAATTTAGATTCAAACCCCTTTAGAAAATATATAAAATGTATCTAGCTTCATACGTATGCTCCATTGAACCCCTAGAAAATATATCAAAATTAGTTAATTCCCTTAGGCAAATAGTAGCCGGCAAGTTGTCGAAATTCACCGAAGTAAAATTTAACCACTTTGTTTAACAACTAGTCGTATGCGTAATGTGGACTTGAATCATCACGGTTAGACTGAAACTGTTTAACAAACAACAATATTAAATGGCAAAGCAAATTTGTGGAATTTGTTGACAGACATGCGAGAATGTTTCAAATTGAGAATCAGGACGAGGGACCCATTTCTGTGATTGTGTGTGCCTTTTGGCTGTTTGTCTTTTTCAGCTTGCCCACTGTCAATAGCAAATGCAATTTTAAACAGGTCCTGGTAATTGTTTTATGGCACTCGAAGGACTCACAAACAAATCAAACTGGCAGACAAAACAGCTCCGACTTCACTCGTAAGATTTATGTGAATGCCACTTTCAGCAGAGCAGGCATTATAAAGTCGTAAAGAAAGACGCTCACTTGGCAATTTGGTTTATCAAAAACCCAATAAATAATAAGCCAAAGAGCTCGGTGCTCGGTACATGAAAAGTAGATCAAGATTATGGGAGAAAAAAACTTTGTTTTTGTTTTACATGTCGGGAAACTGAACGGGAAACACATAGGTATACATGTGTGCGCTTGTCTCCAGGACATGTTGACACATTTTATGGCTTATTGGCTGGCAACATGAAAAATTCATCTAATTGGCAAAGTCTGCATGTTTGATTTCAGTAATGGAGGCCTGTCAATTGGGGACACAGATGGTATTGGCAGTCGGGGTAACAGCCTGTGATTAGAATACCTCGGATTCCATTGATTTTCCCCACAATTTTAAACGACTCAACGTTATTCGGCGAGGTCAAGAGGTCAAGTTGTCAGTGAAATATCCAACTCAATGGCATTTACACACAATTCCGTCTGAGAGTAACAAGGTCGAGGTCTGCACAATTCAGAATACTCACCAAACTTGACGGACGGATACCGAGTTTGCCTTTGTCAGAACAGTGCGTTAATTAAGTAATTTGCCAGGTCACGCTCACCTGTCCTTAGCAGAATAGAACACACCTTTAATGACCGCCCAGGCTGGACAAAAATCGATTTGCGTTCTCTTTTCCCATTCGTTGTAAAAGTAAACGTGGTCTGCCCTTAAAATCGATGGAATTTTGGGCGCGTAATCATTTAACAAATGCTGTTATAGCAAATGCTTGTGGGTACTTAAATTTGGGCTATTGGTTGCCCCAATGATTTTAATTTTTTTACAATAAAGCGTTGCATAAGAGATCCGCGATTTTCCCTAGGGTGAAAGTTTATTTTTGTAATCAGAAAAATGCCTATGCAGAGTTCTTATAAAATTAAATTCAATACAATTTTATTAAAATATTGTGAAATACGCCTTTTATTAATAACAAAAAGGAATTAAAAAATTTTGTAGAAATTTTCAAAGACGCTAACAAGTTGTTTGGGTAACTAACATCGTTTTATATATTTTTGAAGTTTTAATGAACCATTTAGTATGTATATGTACTCCCGGTTATGGTCTCTTGCTTTTTATGCAGGGCAAACTACGCTGGCTGGTTAGCTTCGCCAAAAACAATTTGCAAGACCAATTTATTTGCATTGGAAATTCGAAATTTGAATGAATAACA